GTAAGTCCTTTCGCTGATTCTGCCTTTCAAGGGTACATATTCAATATGTCATCAAGCAGGGGAGGGGAGGGACATTGCTTAACACCCAATTCGCGTCGGCTCAGCATGGAATTCTCGTTGGGTCTAAGACTCACCCGGATCCTCACGTGGATCGTAGTGCTCAGTCTCTAAGGGAACCTTGGGAACCTGGATTTCAACAAGTGACTGCACATTCGGTTCCCGGTCTCCGATCTTGCATGGAACTGGGTTGTAGTTACCAACCTTTGATGAATCCTCGGGAAGGCAGCGAGCAACCCCAAAGAGGGTTGGAAACTGCCTCTTGATCACGTCTCCCACCCTTCAATTACTCCTCAAGATTGCGGCCTTCCCTACGACACCGGCTCGTCGTTCAGGTATTGTCACCCCCCTTTCATTATGTTTCACTGACGCTGAAGATGTGCATTCAAGTTTATCGCCTTCGCCTATTTGGGAATTGGACTACGAGCTCTGAAGGCGACGATGATGACGGTTATGATGACCACGACTACGTCGACGACGTCAAGGTCCGATATATCGCTTCCTCCAACGGCGCCTCTCACGACCTTCGAAAACCCCGTGTTGGACCTTTGAGCCTGAGGATTTGTATCGCCATTGGCAAGGACCATCTGACGTCAAAGTGTGGATTTGGGAGCGCAATGGCAGCAGCGAGACAGGTGGTGCCAGGCGTCCGATCCAAGCGCGGGATTCGCACCGTCACCTGCCAGAGCATCAGTTCTAAGTGCTGAAGAGCGCTAGACCGCCGTGGATTATGAAGTCGACATGGCAGAAAAGGTATCGGCGTGGTGTGAGTTTCTTTTGGTTAATTGATTCTATGCTATGTCACGAAACACCATTGGCTACCTTCGAACCATCTTGTATACTACGGCACAAAATCTATGCAGTCCTTCTCCTCCTTCAGCGTACCAAGTATAATTCACGTAAGTATCATTGTGCAAGTAACATTGGGCCCGACTCCATTGAAGTCCATTCAACCTCAGTCTGAGAATGTCGACTGTAACGACTCGCAAGTCGAGACTCGAGCCTGGCCATGGGGCTGGCAGTGAGTCGTGGTGACATCAGTTTTAGACTATTTCCTCGACGTCCACGCCATTCACCTTTTCATTCCACGCCAATTCACCGGCCAAAGTGTCAAAGACGCTTCCAGGGTCATCCCCACTGGCAAACATAACCCTAGTCAAAGGCCACAAAACTAGCAAACGCACACCCCTACGCCATAAGAACGACATCCACAGGCATCCATTCCCTCTTCTCCTCTTCACCGTACCACAAAGTCCTACCACACTCACACAGCGCCACTATGCCCCGTCTACGTCATCTCCAAGTGGACAGGTGTCCCCGACGAAGTTCAAGCTTCCTAGCGTAGGCATAGTAGCCCTTCGCTAGTGCCGCCTTTGAGGTCTCCGTCTTCCTTCACACGTCTGGGAATGGGGGTAAAGATGGAGAGGACGATACAGGCCCTGGCTCGCACTCTCCGAAGTTGGTACTACCTACGGTGTCTCCGTTTGTCTCTACTGTGTCACATTTCCTTCAACATGGGTTCGCCGTTCGTTTTTACGCATTCTGGGTCCCCATTTGCTGTCACAGGCATGGGCCTTCCATTCGCTCGAGCTCCAATTGGATACTGCCATGCGCCTCTACGTTGTCTTCCCTCCCAAGAGGATCTACAGGTTCTGTGATCCCATTCCAATCCCGCAGGGTGTAGGCGGTCCAAGCCAACAACACGCATGTCCCCTTCCTCTCCCGCCGCATGACGGACAATACCTTCTTTTAGCCCCCCCACCTCTTTCCGTGGGTGCGTTGCGAAGACGGTGACCGATTCTGGGTTTGTTATGCAGCATCTCAGGCCACGGCTTGGTGTTGGAGTTGAGGCGTTGGTTGAAAATCAATATGATGTCTCGAGGGAGTGTCAGGACCGGCACCAAGAAGAGGGGGAGCATCATCACCAGACTCAGACATATTACCAGAACTAGAAACAGAAACGGAAAGAAGGTAAGATCATCCGAAGGTGGCGACGAGGAACCGAGCATGGCTGACCCCCTCCTCCTCCTCTCCCACCACTCTCCTGCTGTACACCGTATCCCGACAATGGGAGCAGATGCGTTGGAGCTAGGTGAGACTTTTAGGCGTGCATCTGCTGGTGGTGGAGGAAGTACAAGTGGAAGTGGAGTTGTTAGGATTGGGAGAGAGAGGAAAGTTCGTGCGAAGGTTGAGGGGGGGGTAAATCTATTCAGGAGAAAGACGGAGATGAAGGGAAAGGGAACGAGGATGTGAAAGGGAAGGGGCAGGCTCAAGAAAGCAAAGAAGAGAAACCGAACGCGAACGAGGGGGAAATGGAAGACGTGGGGAAGGAGAAGAAACCGGACTTGTGAAGCGGATTCGATCTTGACCCACCACGAGCATCATCGGCATTAGGGTCTGGAGATGCTTCAGCTCTGGATTTGGGCCCACACACAACAGAACACGCCCTCCTTGCAACGCTCACAACCCGCCAAGAAGCCCTAGACCAACGTGAGCTTGGATCGGCGGCTAGACAGGAGAGAATTGAGGGGTGGAGGAGAGGGTTGGGGAGGTGCAGAGGGCTGTTGGGTATCCTGAGGATGCGGTTGGGCGACGTGAGGAAGCGGTTGAGAGGAGGGAGAAGGCTGTTTGGCGGAGGGAGGAGGCTTTTGTGCTGAGAGAGCGGGAGGTGAAAGAGAGGGAGGATAAGGTCGTGGAATTAGAGCAAGCAATTGATGAGCGAGGACGGGCGTTTGATCAGAGAGGATCTGAGCTCGAAGAACGTTCTAGGCAGGTTGAAAAGGAAATTGCTCGACTTGGAGGTGTCAACGCGTCCACTTCGGCAGTTGGTTCAAGTTCATGGCCCACAACTCTTCTTCGGTCTGTGGTCTTTCGGGTATTGGGAGACAAGACGTCCTCCTGCCTCTTTTCCTCCTCCAACCCAAGTTCTTTCTCCTCCATCCCCACCATCCCCCAAAAAGACCCCGACGCGACTGGGAAGCGCGACGCGATCTGTACCTCTCGACAGGTGGACAGGGGAGTTAGCTCGTGCCCGTGGGCGTTGCTGTATGTGCTGTTGTTTTGAAGGTGCTTGTGAGAAGGTTGACTGGGGTTGGGATGTGTTGGTTGAGGAGTTGCAAGAACTAAATTCGAGGGTGGGAGATGCTTTGCGGTCTTATGACTTTTATGACCTTTACGACTTTTTTCACGATCTCTTCTTGACTGACGCTGACGAGGAAATGAATAAATGAATGCGCGCGTATGCGAGCGTTTTTGTTTTTTTGTTTGTGTATATATATATGATCGAGTTACTTATACCTTATGTATCGTTTGAATCTTTGTACAGGACTGAATGTTTGAAAGCATCAATGGTCGACAGTTGCTGGATGATCAGTTCCTCGTTCCTTGTGTTACATATGAACAGATCTACGGGACCGGTACATTGACCCCTTCTGAGCCGAAATCCTGACATATCCCATTCCAAAAGCATACACTCTCCCTGGTGTTCACTAATCAGAAAAATTTAACATAATCTAGCAAAACGATGGATATCAAATACTCCGACAGAGGGAGGAGACCACTCACCCATTCGCACAACTGCCAAAGAAAATCAAAACCACCTAGTAACCCAAAGGCAAATTGGAGACTCACAGCCTTTTTCACCCTTGGAATTAATCACCATGTATCCTGACCAAGGCCCTGTTCCGACAAAGCATCAACAAACTGGTGATGAAGCAGAAAAGGAAAGAAATACAGTTGGTGAGGGAGTAAATTTTGGAGACGATAACTCCATCCGTGTAAACGATCTCATCTTTGATGATTGATAGCCAGGCGGAATCACTGTAGTCTGCGGCGGGATACAATAGGATGAGAATCGGATTATCTCTGAACTGTTACTCACTGAGGCTAAGAAGTAACCGACCGCGTTTCGTGAATTTTGAATCTGGTCCATCTGAAAGGGCACGGTTTGTTGCTGCAGTGACTAGTGGATATTCACTGAGAACTTTACCTGGTGTAAGTTTAGTCTTTTGGTCTGCTGCTATATTGGCGGTTGCATTGACAAGGGCTACGGGATCGCCTTCATCGCTACCCGGATAAGTGTCACCTTGAAAGGATATGACATTGGTGTCACTCATGGCAGTGTCACTAGTCATGTCTTGGAAGAGTTCCATATCCTGGTAGAGTGCATGACCCGGCGTGACAAGGCGTTCAACTTTTGCGATGCGTGCTTTCAAAGACCCAGCGGTGTGAGGGGGCGCGATGAAGAGGGCGTTAAGGCGTCCTAACGAAATATCAGTTTGGTCGAAGGACGTCTTTGCCTTTTGATCTCCTCCTTTCGATGAGTAAACACGATAGTAAACTGCAAAGCTCATGAGTGCACGGTTTGGGTAGGAGTCGTCGACAAGACTTGCCATAGTGGATATCAGTCACGGTATGATCAGAGCGTTCCGGTAGCTTCTTTGACTGCGAGACCTCCTCCGTTCTCTTCTCCGACTCGACAACCAACACAATCGGATCTTGTTCGAACAGGCCTGGCCCAGAAGGAGCGAACAAGGAGAGGCGGGCAGAGTCTTCATTGGGTTCTGGGTTTGAGAGCTGTGTGAAGAGGAGCGCCTTGTCGGCCTCCGACCGTAGGCCCTCAAGTTTGCATATGGACCACTTGATAGATGCCACGGTATGAGGAGGGGCAAAAGACTTCGTTGGAATGCGACCAATGAAACGGTCGTTATCGTAGAGGGGGCGAATTGATTCGAATGGACCGAGTTTGGTGTATAGACGGTAATATACTGCACGAGTGGATTAGGCCATTGAAGCCAGGAGTCAAGTTTCCGAGATAGGGCGCACCGTAGTTAGGACCCGTCCTTTTCGTTGGCGTTCCGTCTTGAGACGCTGAATCTGGACCTCCTTCGCCATCTAAGGAGGGAGTAGAACTGGATGTATGATCACGACCAGGCAGAGTAGACATAGCTGCTTCCAACCAGCACCTATTGAAACGTCAGCAAGATGGACGATTGAAGGAAAGGGTTATCGGACATGCCTTCATCAATCATCATCACAAGGTATTGGCCAGATGTTCTAAATTTGAACGAGTAGCTCTGCCTTTACTCCATCCAGCGCATGCACTGGCCTTTCAAGCTCCCAACTTCCCAGGTGGAAAAGCACTGGAGCGCAAGTTCATAAGAATCCACAGTTCAATCTGGAAGTGGAAAAGTACAGGGTTGACAGCACAAGCGCGTTTGAGTGCGGGAATGACGCGCACCGATGCCCATAAGATTCCATGCTATTCCATGTTCAGCGTGGTGGGCTTCAATACTTATCTAGACAGGCACACGGGCGCCTCTCCAGGGAAGGTCGTCGGCAGCACCCGGACAAGTCGTTGACGTCACGGCGCAAAGCAAGCGCAAGGATGTGAACAACGTGCGAGCGCTGATCGCAACAACTTCAAGTTCCAACGTTGAACGTTGAACTTGAACTTGGTTGTAACGAATCGCCAGTCAAAGCCATGGCGTTGAGTCTTGACATGAGATTCACAACCACCGCCGAGTCGATCCCGTACATCCTCCACATCCACCGGCGCACCAGCTCACCCACAAAGGAAGTACTTCCATCGTCATGCCCAATCCCTCATCAAATGCAGTAAAACCAAACGCAGACTCCTACACCATAAATCAACATCCACCGACACAGGCATCCTTGCGCATCCGTCAAAAAACAAAACACTGTGCTGATACCCTTCCTTACCTTATGACTCCCATTCACCCTCAAGTTACCAGAAGATCCACAACACACATATCTGCCTACTCCACTCCACACTGGCGCAGGGGCTCAGGAGGTTCCAAACTGGCAATTGCAGTGATCACTGCATTTGTCAAGGAGAAACTATGACATTATTTATCACCAAATATTATTGGTCATGGAACTTGGTTTTCGCTGTATGGCCATGGTTTTGATCGGGAAATTGATTACCTAAGTCATGGTCTAGATCACAGATTTTAGAATCGAGATTTGGTTTTGGCTAAAATAATTCATGGTCTGCTGTTTCTGGATTGCTGCAGAGGTCAACAAACTTATATCGTGGATATGTAGCCTCATTGGCCATCTTATGGAGTCTCCCCTGATCAACCTTTGGTTATTGGGCAACAAAATTTGCTTACCTAATGTCCATCTGACCACCTGTAAATTGCTGCCCACCTGGTCCTGAAGCGATGCTGATCTAGATTTACCACCTGTAAATTGCTGCCCACCTCGGTCCTGAAGCGATGCTGATCTAGATTCACTGCCTGTAAATTGCTGGCCTCTGTGATCCTGAAGCGACACTGGTGCAGCCTTACCACCTGTAAATTGCTGGCCTCTGTGATCCTGAAGCGACACTGGTGTAGTTCAACTACCTGTAAATTGCTGGTTTCTGTGATCCTGAATCAACCTGATATTTATACAAGCAGCAATGAGGACATTCACTTTTCAACATCTCTCCCCCTCTTGTTCAGAGTTCTGCGACACTTTTCAGTCACATCCAGTCATTTCATCGCTCCAAAACCTTAGGCTTTTAATCTTGTATGTCGTTATAGCCTGCTTCCCAAAGTGTTGCTTGCTAACACTTTCTCCCTTTTAATCGCAGTATCTTTTTCTGATATTAATATTTCGCAGTAAGTTGATTTCGATACTTTCTGATAGTTCAGAAAAAGGATCTAACAAATTGTATGGGCAGAATGGATCTGTCGCAGCTGACTTTAGATGAAGTTGCTCAATTGCGAGCACTCTTGTTTCGAACCCCAGCTTCCAGTGCCCCTGCCCCAAGTTCTGTCCCAAGTGCTCCTGCCCCGAGTGCCCCTGCCTCCCATGCTTTAGTGACAAACACATCAGTCCAACCATTCCTTCCTTCCCAGTTACCCCACCCTCTGGATGTTCCCAGCCAGCAGGAATTCGCAACTTCTGTTTCGCAAACCCAGGTGGGACCAATGGCTGTACCTTCTCTTCCGATCACCCAGCCCTATCAAAGCATGTGAGTCAACAGTCAGCCAGCTCCATTCCAGCCCTTTTTAGGACTCCAGAGTCTTGGGTTGAATCTTGCCACTGGCCATGCAAATCAGGCACGACGAGCCTCTGCTGCAGCCACTTTGCCAAGGCAGCCAGCATTAACAGCTCGTCGCACTCAAGCTCAATCTAGTCGTCGTGTCAGAGGAGCAGCAGTTCATCCTCCTACACTCCCTAATGGTATTCCACAGCAGCCCAAAATTGGAGACTGCCTTGTGTTGGGAACAGCTGAATGAGCTTTTCGTATTACAGTCAAAGTTCATTTCCCTGTTGTAAGTGTATTCTTCTTCCTACAGTTGCTTCGATGCTGACACATTTGCAGCCTGAGCATGAAGACTTCATCTACCGATTCCTCAAAGATTCGCACAGTGCATGGCTCGAACAGCATCACCTTCTGTGGAGATACGAATTTGCAGCTTCGGCCACTGTCCACTCCCTTATCACACAAGTTGCAAATGACATGAGAAATTCCCCATCAGCATACCAATTTGCATCGGTACCATCGCGAAATATCAGTATCGTCGCCCACGAGGCTCTTCCACTGCAACTTTATGGTCTTGTAGCCAGAGGAGTTCCTCGCCCTCGTGACCAATTAGTTCGCATCGTCTGCATGCCCACAGACCCTTACTTTACCTTGGAGATGGTCGCAGCTGACAGGAGAAGGTATGCAGCACCTGTATGCATTGAGGGAGATAGATTTGCTATACATCTTGGTAAGCGATACTAGTCGCCATCTTTCTTTCTGGCTCTTACAATTTTTCTGCAGGAGTGACCCTCCCCCGAACATCAGCTCTTATCAATCATCGTAGGCACAAATGCCTTGGTCTTCGGCTGCATAGTTACCTTCCGACTGACAGTCATAAAGATGATGGATCTGACGATGGTATTGTTACTTCTGGAGGTGAAACAGATGGGTATGATACCGACGAGTTTGAAAGTGAACCAGCCCCCATCTCCAACTCATCAGTCCATGGATTGTCAGTAAATCCTCCAGCCAGGACGACAAGAAACACAGTCAGTATCACAGACACAATCTATGCCTTTATATTGCTGACCTCGCTATCCAGACATCTTCTGCTCTAGGCGAAGGCCAGAATAGCCAATCATTTGTGATGCCCTGGAGCTTTTTGCCTCCAAAAATCTGGGATTCACACTCCTGGACCCCACCACCATCGCAAAATCTCTACTCTATTGATCGCCTAGCTACACAGGTCTTTCAAACTGCCACCAGTGGCATCTCAGTACCCAGGTTTGTTGTGGAAGGCAATGATGTTGCAGGTTTATGTCAGCATTTGGATGCCTTCCTGACCCAGGCCATCAAGGAAAACGACTTCACAACCATCCTTTCGCCCAATCGCACCTTCCAGATGCAAGTATTCCCACCTTTCTCTGAAATGCAATTCGCTAAACCATCTTATTAGCAATGACCACAATGGCGACATGACTTCGCTCGGCATTGGGATTGAGCGAGAAGTTATTCATACTCTCTTCAGTTCCTTTATCGACAAATCATGGCTCACTCCTCATGCTGACAATCATGCAACACTTGCTGTTATCTATCCTGAGTCATCATGGGCCCTCATTCCAGAGCAGCGATTGGTTGGCTGTGCGAAGCTTGGGGCACTCACTGCCCTGATGCTTATTCAAGGCCACTGCCCATCACCACTAGACCCACTCATCCTTCAATACTTCGTTCATGATAAAAATTTCCACTCCTTAACCCCAACTTTTGTCGGCAAATGGCACCCCAACCTCCGAACAGCAATTTTTGACTGGGTTGAGGCTGGTCATTCTGGTAATATCAGTCACTTTCATAGCCACTTTGCTAGTTATCTTGATTTGGAGGTGAGAATTTGCCAGCAGCTTTGTCCCCCAATCTCATTCATCTCCTGGCAGGTCTGTTCTATCGGGCCTCGAACAGAGGCATCACATGGGGCATTTATCCCCCAGATTTTATACCAGACAGTCTTCGGTCCCCACCCTCCTTTTCATCCTGAGTGGAAGGCCTTCTATAAGGGGTTCAAGCTCTCCTGCAGAAATGGGTTTTCGTTTCTTTCTGTAAGCATTTTAAAAACACTACTGTGGTAATCTGCTGACCACATTCAGGTTCCCAAATCTTTCAATGGAGGTTCCGAAACCTTCTTCAGTCTATTGTGGACATCGCAAGTCAAGAGCTACGAATGCATTAGAGCCTGCATCCCCAATATTGCCACTTCGCAAGCCATCCAGACAGCTCTTTATAATGCTGATGAAGACAGGCTTTCCTTCGCAGATTGCATTGTACGATTTCTGAAAGGTACTGGTCTTCCCTGCCCTGATCGATTCCAGGATATCAAGGGCAGGTTTGGGAACAGGTTTGATTTTTCGCAGGTTGACTCACCAGCTTTCCGACCCCGTATGTTTCTGTGGGCAGCTACAGGTGCACCATTTATTGACCCTAATGATGGGGAGATTGAGGTAAGTGGATTTTGCCTGCAATTATATACTGTTGTGATCTAACGACACCTGTAGATTGCTGTTGTAGAGGCGAACCACCCGATGTATGCTGAAAATGCAGTTCAGGGTCAGCTTATGGCTTCGCAGGGAAGAATTTCATTCCAAACTTGCTCTAAATCAGTTCGTTTTCCTGCCTGTCGGATCCTTGGGCTGGCAGGTGAAAACAACCACACCCCCTTCCATGATCGTTTCGATTACTGGATACTTACTGAAATTCTTGAAGCAATCGGGGGCCACTCCATTCTTTAGCTAGCAGATAAAGAGTCGCTTACATTGATATATCGAGTATACCCATACAGCTCTTCGTCAGCGATGCTGTTACTTTCATTCTGGTGACTTTCTTTTGCGATATAATTTACACCCCCACTCCCTGTTGCCTCACCCACTGGTGCTTCTTTTGTGATATACTTTACACCACCCCCTCTCCCTGTTGCCTCACCCACTTGTGCTTCTTTTTGTTGGCAAACTATACCTATCGCTTCATTTTTAGAGTACTCAGTTTATATCATTTTTTAAAGTAATTCGTCTGTAGCTGGCTGCTGTAGTCTTTCCTATTGATCTTAAATATAAGGTGTTCTTCTTTATATCCTGGTTCAATCATGCAAAATGAATATATCATGGAGGGAAACAAGAAAACTGCAATAATTCATATTGTTTACTAGAGGTTCGCAGAATTGGGCAGCTTGATAAATTTGTGCACCCATCAGGAATTGAACTTGTGGCCACATGGCTTCATGGAATCGGGCACACCACATGTTATACACAGAAAGCAGCCCGTTAGACCATTACACCACAGTGGCATTATTAACACTGAAACATTATTCTTCATGGCCCAAAGGAAGCCACATCCTTACACATCGGTGTGCCATGCAGTCCAGACAGTCATGGCACATGTCGCCGTCACTGTCCACAACAATCATGGTGATGCCCCTCCACTTCCTTTTTGACATGAGAAGCAGGAGCCATGTTGCTGTCAGTGGTGTAGCAGCCAGCAATGGATGGGCACCAGATGAGCGACTGTTATCGTACTTATGTATTTGTAATCATGGGAATACACCAAAATTGACATTTGAAACCAGCATTGACATTTGACGAACTCTAACAGCTACTAAGTTATCAATTTCTAATCCACCTGTTGTAAATGAACAGTTTGAAGGCCAAATTCAATTGACCCTCCCGTCTTCTGCAGCTCACACATAGCGAGTTCTACCCAGGCTGTTGAATTCATTGCTAAACCCATAGAGAAAACACTCCCCCGGTATGAAGTAGCATGGAGGTGTTCAGGCTGAAAGGCTGTCAGTGTGCGTGCAGCCCCTTGGACAACAACACCAAGCCCAAAGTCAATAAAGTTAGAGCCCAGGTGGGCACTGGGCAGTAACTGGGGGGAGAGGATTCTGCGGGCGACAGTACAAGCAAAGGCCCAGATTGTAGCACATCCATCTGTATGGGAAGGCCTGAATTCAATGGTAAAAATTTCACATAAAGGAAACTAATAATAATCAACTTACGCTTCATATGAAACTGTGGCTACCCCTTCAGGAGGGGCCCGGGAGGCTTGGCTGAATGTGTAATCAGTTCCGTCAATTGAAATTGAGAAGCCACATCCTATTCAAATTTTATTACTGGAAATGAAAAAAGAGAAAAGAAAGTTATCATACCTTCTGGAACATTGCGTGTTGCCATAGTAGGATAAATACCATCCAGCTTATCTTGAACTGGCTTCGTAACATCTGTAGGCAGATAAGCCTTGATGAGAGCCCACAATAGGCTCATTCCTCCAAGCAAATCAGTGTCCTGCTGGACCTTCTGCTCATGGGTCAAGTCCCGGGTAAAAGATTGTGCCCATCCAAGAATGCGGGCATGGCGTGCTCCCATGTTGAGACCTATTTGTACCATTTTTCCTGGATGGGTTGGCTGCCAAAGCGATCAGTCAAAGTATTTGTGATTTATCATTTTTTAAAGATGCACACGGACATCACGTCGGCTGCTGCAAGCTGCTTCTATAACAAGCTCCAGCCATAACATCAGTGGGGTAACAAAAGGGGTGTAGCATGGGATGTCCTGTGGGACATCCCGTGCTACGACGAGCTCCATTTTATAGCCTAAATATTATAAGTAATTTTAAAAAATTAAAATCAAAATTAAAACCACATACGCTTATTTACACCCAAAGATACGAACACTGTGGATTGATGGAATGGAAGAACATAGAATCCAGTTTCTGCACAGCAGAGAATAGCATTGTCAGGTGTATCTGCTGCTCTGACTTCCACAGCAGGACAGTTGCACCGGTAATCATGCTGCTCCCCACCTGGATAATCTTTCAATTGGCTCTTGAGGTATCTGCGCTGCCGGAGAACTAGAAGAGCACCAAATCGCTCCTGTACCTCGGCCACAGCATCATCCCAGGTAGCTGCTTTCTCGATAATCGCAATGATCGAAACCTGTTCTGCACAGAGACCAAGTGCATCAACCTAAACGATCGTAAAGCTAGTTCACACAATGTAAATATCAACAGGTAAATTGCCGTACAATTCTCCGGCGCTCCTGATGATTCGCTTTACCCTCAAGCATCTTATCGTGTAATGCACTGAAGAGCGCATAGGACTCTGACCCTGCCTGGTAGAGGGAAAGTCCTTGAAGAACAAACCCTGGCCACTATGACGATACATGTCAGAAAAGAACAACACCTGGAAACAAGACTGAACGAACCCCAGCTCCTTCCTGAAACTCACCCACAAAGGGTGCTTCTTCTAAGATGCTGGCCTGGGTATCAGATGTGGGTTCTTCCAGATAGATGTGTAGCAGCTGCTGGATGTTGTCCCCTTCGATGTAGCTGCGAACTACCAGGACAGACCAGATTAACTGAGCTGCTTCTAGAAAGAGCTGACATAGAAGACATACATTCTTTGATACCTGTGGTTTTGTGTCTTCGTGGCATTGTAGGTGGGTGGACGATGTGGATAGGATGATAGCAGAATCAGATAAGCGACGCGAAGTGGTGTAAGCGATGTGTAAGCAGCACAGCTCCCTGTGGATCATACAAGTTTATGTTCCTGTCTATAACAATGCCACTGTGGTGTAATTGTCTAACGGGCTGCTTTCTGTGTATAATGTGTGGTGTGCCCGATTCCATCAAGCCATGTGACCGAGAGTTCAATTCCTGCTGGGTGCACAAATTTATCCAGGTGCCCCACTTCTGTATACCACTAGTAAATTGTTCCCAGTATTGTAGTTTTTTTCGTTTCACTCAATTATATATTCATTTTGCATGATTGAACCAGGACACCACCCTAAATTTAAGACTACAGCAGCCAGCTACAGGCAAATTACTCTGAACATGTCGTCTTTTGTCGCTGTCATTACGACAGTGTATACAGGTAAAGACACACCCCCAGAACCAGGCCAGTGTTGCATAGCCGGGTGAATTGCTGACACACTGGTGTGTGCCTCCTCTTTAGTGTCAATGGTACATCGGTTGGACACATTCAGATGTGTCGGGCATAAATAATTGCATGCCTGCACATCTGGCCAGCTTCAGGTCTTTTTTCTTTCTTTTGCAGGCCCCCCTGTACCCGGGTAAATGGCAGAATAATATGTATTGCTTATCTACAGGAAAAACATTGATATGGGAAGGTATACCTACAGTGTAGAAGTAGGAAGGAAGGGGCGAGGTAGGGATACCACCTCTCCCCTTCAACAACCCCCTCCTATCAAAGCTGGTGATCCCCACACCACCCTGTCCAGGCTGCATGCCCTCTGCCCGATACTGAGTCCCCAACTCTCCACACTGATAGCGAGCCATGGTGTACATTGTCGGTGCATCGGGAAATCGCCGATGACCCTATTGGCTGTGCGTCGATCGTGGTCGGGGGCGCCCATGGCTGCTGGTCGGAGGTGGTGATGAGCCCCCATGGCCGTTCGTCGACTGTGGTTGTGGGTGGCTGTAGCCATCCGTTGACCCTGCAGCAAAAGTGGGCACTTGCCGTCGGTCGACCATGGTGCTGGGGTGCTGTGGCCATTCGTCGATGGGCTGTGGGGGGCCGTAGCTATCCGTCGATCCTGGTGGTCCCCTGGCCAGTCGTCGATTGCCGGGGTGGGACCCCATGGCCATGTGGGTGGTCATGCCGTTTTTCAATCATCGTGGTGGGCCAAGCGTCGTCGAAGGCCGTGGTGGGCAAATCGTGATTTCGTCAATGGTGGTGCTGGGCACCCATGGACATCTGTGGGCGGTCGTCGCCATTTCTTGATGGTGGTGGTGGGTCCCATGGCCAATCGCCAATGGTCGTGGTGGGCAGATCGTGGCTGTGGGCAGCCGTCGCCATTCGTCAATCCTGCGGCGAAAGTGGGCACTCGCCGTCGGCCGACCATGGTGCTGGGACCTCGTGAGCTGGATTCCATAGAAATGAGTGGTGGGAGGATTTGGATGAACATAGACTGGGGGTACTTACCATGAGGTTACACAAAAGCGAACGACGAAAGTTGGTAGGCATTCGTCGTTTGGTTGCCACGTCGCTGTCAACGACGTGGCACCTGAATTCTATTTTTCAGAGATGAGTGGTGGGGGAGAGGTGAGTGCTCACCGCGGTCTGCTTCCCTCCGTGTGCTGGCCATCGTTCGTGAGCCATGGTAAATTCGTCGCCGTTTGTCACTTGTTATCACATCGCTATCGGCAATGTATCCCCTGCTTCTTGTGTGAGAAAACAGGGGGGAGGGGATTCATGTAGCTCACCTGGCCGTCCTCTGGATTCTGGAACCATGGTTGGGTCATCGTCCTGTGCTGTTGTCGTTCTCTCGTTGGTTGCCACAGCGCCTGCTAGCGTCGCTTTGTTGTTGTTGTTGCGATGTGTAGTGGTGGTTGGCACAGTGGCTGTTGGTGAACAGAGGTGATGATGCGTCGCAGCGTGACCCAGCCAATCATGTGACCTTTGATCGAAACCAAAAACCAAAACCGTGGGATGAAAACCAAAACCATAGAATAGAACCATGTTTCTACCAAAAACCACTATCTACGGCCATAAATCGAGTTTAGAATTATTTTTACTGTAGTCTAATCGGGCGCACGGGTGCCTAGGGGACGTAACACATCTCCTCTCCCTGAGATATTCCTGGTCTCTGAGACCAGCGTTTCAGGTTGAGCAGAGTCGAACTTTCCTCTCTCTTCCTCCTACCCCATCCTTCTGAGGTAGCGGTATCTTGCATTCACATTACAACTCTTAGTTGCATCGGATCAAATCCTCATCATTTCATCTCATGTCTACTGGCAATGTCGTTGATGCAACTCCTACTCCTCTTGAAACTCCTATTTCTGGTGGTAACAACGACACTACTCAAGGTGGTAACAACGGTGCGAGTGATCAACAGCATCCAGGAACAACTTCCGGTGAACAAGGTTCTGGTAATCGCCGATCCTTGTCACCGGAATCTGGGCAAAGTCAAGTTCGAACGCTTGGGAATGCCCCAGTTTCTATCGCTGCCCTTGCTGCTTGCAACAAGCCAATCGAAGACTTTCGTGCCTCAAACATCTCAAAAGCCACAGCACTTAGCCGAATCTACACCACACTCACCGACGCATTACCAGCAGACCCGACAGGAGTCGAAGAGGCCTTTGCGCGCTATATCGTCATCCTTGAAAACCACGAACACCACCTTTCCGAAGCCGAACGCCGCGGCAATAGGCAACGTTCAAAATCACCTGTTGAAGAGCAATTTGATGAGGAGGAACTGTCTCGCCCAACGAAACATGCAAAACCTGATGAGTCTCAATACCCATGGGTTGTCTCAGATTTCATACATTCGGTCACTTTATCCCCTTCCCTCACAGCTTCACTCGACCTCCTCAAACTGTATTCAGTCGACCCTAAGGGCACGAAGCGATCCCTCATCAACTCACCCACATGCCCTGAATTCCCAGACTCCGAATGGACGAACATTCTTGCGGGTCGCGCTGTCAACCTCGACACGGTACTTACAGGTTATTACTCGACATCCAATAACGACGAGCGCATTGAGTCAATCGGTGATCTTGATATCAAATTTGGAACTGTTGCCCCAACCAAAATTGTTTCAAGTGCGGGGGAGTGGACAATCACTTGGAATAGAGCATCTCGCGCAACGTCAATGGCTTTCCCTCATCGTGCGGGAGAACTGGCCGATTATGCTGAGTACATCATCGCACTTTTTGCAGCAACTGATATCCTGTTCCATGACTGAGTTATTCTTTTCGACAAGGCTGTTCGCCATCGTGTCGGCAGCCGACGTGATCTCGAGCTCACTCATTTCGACAAATTTGCCGATCTTAGAACCGCACACATGGATTCCATTGGTGCAGCTGTTGTGCAATGCTTACCTATCTCAAAGGTACCCTCGACTTCACGCAAGAAACAGGAGGCATGCAACCGATGGAATGAGGGGCTGTGCTTGCTTGATGGCAGCCAGTGTCGTCGACTCCATGTTTGCAACAAGTGCTCCAAGGGTGGCCACAAAGGACCTGAGTGCCCGTCCTCCCAGTAATTTCATCCCTGATATGTCTCGACCCACCTCTTCCGATGTTATGCATTGTTACCTTTATCTGCAGCCCCCTCGATCACCTACACTGGGGGTAATTAATAAATGATTTCTATTTCACGTGGTTCTCGCCAACCCCAGCGTGAACCATGGACTCTTGATCGTCTAGTTCATGAACGGTCAATTTCATTGGGGATGTCCATTGACAACTCTTCTCACATCACATACACATCAGCCCTGAACTCATATCTCACGTTCTGCAAAATCCACAAGTTCGATATCACACCCACTGAACAAACTCTCAGCTTTTATGCTGTCTACATGTCATCACATATCAAACCCTCTTCCGTCAATTCTTATCTATCCGGGATCTGCAATCAGCTTGAACCTTTCTTCCCAGATGTGAGGAAAACCTGCAACTCTATGCTTGTGTCACGTACTATGACAGGATGTCAACGCCGCTTTGGAACTCCTGTAAAACGAAAACGCCCACTGTCAACCACTGATCTGCAAACTGTCATCTCTGCCATAGGGTCTTCCACTTGTCATGATGACAAGCTATTCCTCTCAATGCTAGAGACAGGTTTCCATGGCCTCATGCGTCTTGGAGAGATTACCTTCCCAGACAAAGTTGCACAGCGCAATTATCGGAAAGTTATCCTCCGGCACACTGTTGATATCACCGAGAAATCCTACTCATTTTGGCTGCCTGGCCACAAGGCCGACCACTTCTATGAAGGAAACTTGATTATCATCGAAAAGACAAACCTCCCAACTGACCCATACTCATTTTTCACCTCATATTTACAATCACAAGACACCCTTCATCCGTTAAAACCTGAACTTTGGTTGCGTGAGTCTGGCAGTGTGCCGACCCGCTCCTGGTTCATGAAACGACTCCGTCGTTTCTTCCCTGCCGATATTGCAGGCCAATCTATGTGTGCTGGAGGTGCCACTTCTCTTGCTGAAGCTGGTGTACCTCCCAACATCATTCAAGCCATTGGACAATGGGCATCGGATACCTTTCAGATCTACATCAGAAAGAATCCTGTTCTTCTCCAAGCTATGTTATTTGGGCACCCTGCCCACCAACCAGCTACGAACATTTGATCTTTTGACTTTTTTCATTTAACATTGGACTATTTTCTCTGACTTGTACTGCCTCAGATTTTTATCCCAGCCTCTTACAAACATCACTCCACTCCACTCCACTCAACTTCTTTCTTCCTTTTTCAAAAGACACTTATATAATCTCCCCCCCTTCCCTTTCCCTCACTCACATTTATAGGTAATAGGACATCGAGGCCGTGAAATACATTTCTCGCAGGTTGCCCTCACATCGAGGCAACCCTGTTTTTGCCTATTATCTTTCATTTCTATTCAAGATTACGGACCTTCTTCCACCCTTGCACGATTAGTCGAGTTTAGAATTATTTTTACTGTAGTCTAATCGGGTGCACGGGTGCCTAGGGGACGTAACACATCTCCTCTCCCCGAGATATTCCTGGTCTCTGAGACCAGCGTTTCAGGTTGAGCAGAGTCGAACTTTCCTCTCTCTTCCTCCTACCCCATCCTTCTGAGGTAGTGGTATCTTGCATTCACCCACCCTCCTGCTCCCTCTTTTCTTCTTCATCTCGTCCGTTTGTAATGTAGAGGATCAGGACATCGAGGCCGTGAAATACATTTCTTGCGGGTTGCCCTCACATCGAGGCAACCCTGTTTTTGCCTATTATCTTTCATTTCTATTCAAGATTACGGACCTTCTTCCACCCTTTACCAAAAACCACTATCTACGGCCATAAAAATAAGTAAAACCATGTAAATATGTAGAAACCAAAATATATTGTGAAAAATCGCAACCAAAAACCAAAACCGTAGGATGAAAACCAAAGCCATAGAATAAAACCACTATCTACGACCATAAAAATAAGCAAAACCATGTAAAATACGTAGAAACCATAATAGATTGTGAAAAATACACTCATAAGAAACAGATAACAGGGACGACGTTCTTGAGGTTGATTTGGATGGGTACGTGTTCTTCTTGTCCTTAGTTTCGTTTCTACCTAGTGCTAATAATTATATTGGATATCAAGCTCAAGGTCCGAACTACCAACAACCCACTAAATTCACCCCCTCTCCGCCTCCCGCTCCCTGCGCCGAAACGCCCTACGAGGCCAGGCTCGAGTCGGCCATAGCTTCCCCGTTCATTCTCTGCAACATGACAATTTCTCTTTCAACTTTTTTTCCTTTGCCAGTGACGTGGGGAGGAGGAGCCCTAGGAACCCAAGCTTTTATTCGATTTCCAATGGAAAGGGGAGGGTGAAAGGCATAATAGACTCCCTTGAACGGTCCTCGAGCTAACGACGATTAGGAGAAAGGAGGAAGGACTCGGAGGCCAAATTTGCCGAATAAGAATCAACGACATTCCACTCTTATTCTCCGACTATAACATTCCGCGTCCTATCCGCATTCACCCAACAAGACTCAGTGCACTCTTCCATTGCGGGGGGCAGTACATGATCTGTTCTCGTTTTCTGCTCCTAGCCCTGGGCTGGTCCTTGTATCAATACAAGGGAAGAGTTTGACACACGGACGGAAGGAGAAGAAAACGATCAAGTCGCCCCACCAAGCTCGTCTTCTGCCTTACTCCCTGCTTACGCTCTCACACTTCGCTCTCTCGTTGTACATACGGGGTCTCGGTTCATTCCTACTGCACCGCCGTTCCTATCAACAGGCCCAGGTTCCCCATTCGCTTCTACGCATTCTGGGTCGCCAATCTCTTCCAAAGGCACCAGGCCCTCCATTAGGGGGTTTCACAGTAGGCCAACTTAGGTCCCAACTTTCATTCCAACTTGTGGGCCAACTTCAACAAAGTTGAAAGGGAAGTTGGCCAACTTTACCGTGAAACACCTTGAACTGCAGAAAACATGAACTTGGGCTGATTTGGGCTCGGAAGGGATTCCGAATGCAGATTTCTGCCTATTTTGGACACGTGGGAAGTTGCGAGGTGAAGTTGGGCACCAAGTTGGGATCAAAGTTGGCTGCAAATCGGCGTCGGGACCACGATTTGCATCCCAACTTGATGAAGTTGGTCAAACTTTGTCCTTCCAACTTGGCAAAAGTTGCTCACCAAGTTGGGGATTAAGTTGGGACCTAAGTTGGCCTACTGTGAAACCCCCTATTCACTCAAACGCCAATTAGTACAGCAGGACCGTACGAGTTTGGGTACCGTTATGCCCCTTTACCTCCCCCATTTACTGCAATCCAACCCGTTGGGCGTAGGCGGTCCTGGCCAACAACACGTAACAGACAACAACTCCTCGTAGACCCCCCTCTTCGCACTGGTGGACCCTGGTGTGGATGAGGAAAGAGAGAGGGAGGGCGTAGCGACGACGCTGACTAATTCTGGGTCTGTGATCCACCATCCTGGGCCACGGCCTGGCGTTGGAGTTGAGGGGCTGGTTGGGTATTTCGATCTTCCGACTGGTGATGGTGTTCTGAGAGATACGTCTGGGTCTGGTGATGGTAGTGACGTTCCTCCTTCGTCTGATAACATACACCACGCTGGTGCTGCTCCAGAACCAGAAACGGAGACGAAGACGGAGACGGAAGGAGGGTACGACACCGCCCCATCCTCATCCTCATCTCCATCCCAATCATCCCTATCAATTGAAGACTCCGGTGGTGGTGGGGACGAGGATGAACCAAGCATCGCGGACCTCCTCCTCCTCTCTCACTCTCCTGCACACCCAATAACGGTAAAGGGAGCGGAAGCGTGGGAGTTGGAGTTGGGTGAGACTGTTAAGCGTGCAGGAATGGGGGGAAGTGGAGTTGGGGTTGTTAGGACTGGGAGAGGGAGGAAGGTTCGTGCTGGGGGTAAATCCGTTGAGGAGAACGATGGAGACGAAGACGAAGGGAAAGGCTTGAGAAAGACCGAATGGCGAAGAAGAGAAACCAAACGCAAACGAGGGGGAAAAGGAAAAAGAAGACGCAGGAGAGGAGAGGAAACCGGACTTGTGGACCGTGTTTAATCTGGACCCACCACGAACAGCATCAGCGTTAGGGTCTGGAGATGCTTCAGCTCTGGATCTCAGCCCGCACACAACAGAACACGACCTCACGACACTCAAAACCCGCCAAGAAGCGCTAGAGCAGCGTACAATCGGGCTGGCGGCTAGACAGGAGAGGATTGAGGGGGTGGAGGAGAGGGTTGGGGAGGTGCAGAGGTGTGTTGGGTATCGTGAGGAGGCGGTGGAAAGGAGGGAGGAGGCGGTTGAGATTAAGGAGACAGAGGTTGAAAGGCGGGAGGAGGCGGTTGACAAGAGGGAGCGGGAGGTACGAGGGAGGGAGGAGAAGGTCGTGGAATTGGAGCAAGCGCCTGAACAGGAAGGCTTCGAGCTTGAAGAACATTCTAAACGGGTTCAAGAGCTCGAGGAAACGCGTTCTGCCTGACTTAGTGCTATCAATGTCCAGTTTGTCGATTTCATGGCCCATCACTCTTCTTCAGTCTTTGGTCTTTCGTGTGCTGGGCAACAAGACGTCTTCGCTCCTCTTTTCCTCCTGCCCTCCTTCCTCATCTCGAGTCCTCCCCCCTCCTCCAACCCAAATGCTCCCACCACCACCACCCCTCAAAGAAGACCCAGACGCGACTGGGAAGCATCTGTACCTATCAACAGGCGGACGGGGGAGTTACCTCGTGCTCGTGGGCATTGGCGTGTGTGCTGTTGTGTTGAAGGTGCTCGTGAGGAGGTTGACTGGGTTTGGGATTTGGAGTTGGTTGAGGAGGAGGAGCAGGAGGTAGCGTTGACCTTTGAGCTTGTTGCTTGGATGGTCGATTTTGGGCTTCGTTGGGGGTACTTTCTATGGGATTATGACTTTACGACTTTAACGATCTGACGCTGACGAGGAATTGAATACATGAACGCGCCCGTATGCGAGCGTTTTGGGTTTTAGTGTATATATCTGACCTAGTTACTTATACCTTATGTAGGTATCGTTTGAATCTTTGAGCAGGACTGAACGTTTGAAAGCATCAACCGTCGACAGTTGCAAGTTGCAATGTATGGTTCGTTTTTCATAATCAGTGAGTCCTCGTTTCTTATGGTACATATGAATAGATGTACGATACTACATCTCATTGAAACATACTCTCTCCAATGTTAACCGGTGAACACACCCATCAAATGAACTCGATCCAAGCTGGCAGACAGTGGATATCATGTAGTCTGACAGAGGGAGGAGACCACTCACCCTTGTGCACAACTGCCAAAGAAAATCAATAACCACCTAGTGACCAAGGCAAATCGGAGACTCACAGCCTTTTTCACCCTCGGAGTTGATCACCATGTATCCTGGATAATACCCTGTTCCGACAAAGCATCAACAAATCGGTGATGAAGCGGGAAAGGAAAGAAATACAGAGGTCGGGCAAGTGAAATTTGGAGACACCAACTCCATCTGTATAAACAATTTCATCTTTGTTAGTTGATAGCCAGGATGGATGGTCTGGTGGGATACAATAGGGTGAGAGTCACATTATCTCAGGAACTGTTGCTCACTGGAAGTAACTTTCATCCGAGCGCGTTTCGTGAATTTCGACGCTGGTCCATCTGAAAGAGCACGGTTTGTTGCCAGTGTCTAGTAGATATTCACTGAGAACTTTACCTGATGTAGGCTTAGCCTTTTGATCCGCTGCTGTATTGGTGGTTGCATTGACAAGGGCTACGGGATCGCCTTCATCGCTACCCGGGTAAGTATCACCTTGAAAGGATATGACATCAGCGTCGCTCATAGCAGCATCACTATTCATGGCCTCGAAGAGTTCCATGTTGTTGTAGAGTGCATGACCCGGCGTTACGAGGCCTTCAACTTTCGCGATGCATGCTCTCAAAGACCCAGCGGTGTGAGGGGGAGCGATGAAGAGGGTGTTGATGCGTCCTAACGAAATATCACTTTCGTCAAAGAACGTCTTTGCCTTTTCATCTCCTTCTCCTTCTAATGAGTAAAGGCGATAGTACGCTGCAAAGGTAATTAATACATTACTATTTAGGTAGGAGACGTCGCCAAGACGTACCGTAGTGGATATCAATATCATCAGACCGCTCTGGGAGCTCCTCCGACAGCGTAATGTTCTTGGTTCTCTTCTCCGACTCGACAACTAGTGCGATCGGATCTTGTTCAAACAGGCCTGGCCCAGAAGGAGCAGAAAGAGAGAGGCGAGCAGAGTCTTCTCTGGGTGCTGGGCTTGAGAGCGGTGTGAAGACAAGCGCCTTGTCGGGCTCAGAGAGGCCCTCAAATTTGCATAGGGAGCGCCTGATAGATGCTACCGTATGAGGAGGGGCAAAAGACTTCGTTGGAATGCGACCAACGTAACGGTCGTTGTGGTAGATGGGGTGAATTGATTCGAATGCACCGAGTTTGGTGTATAGACGATAGTATACTGCGTGAGTAGATTAGACCAGCAGTAGAGTTTTCGGGATAGCGCGCACCATAGCCAGTAGGACCTGTCCTTATCGTTGACCTTCCTCCTTTCACTGCTGATTCCCCTTTGCCATCTAAAGAGGGAGCGGAACTGGACTGATCACGACCAGGCAGAGTAGACATCGCCGTTTTCAACCAGAACCTGCCCGCCGTATTAGCAAGATGCGATTGAAGGAAACAGTTATCGGAGACGCCTTTATCATGCGCCCATCCACGAGGCATTTGGCGCTTATGCATCAACCGTCCCCTCGGTGGGTGCCAGAGCACGTAGGGTGTTCTCAAGTCGAACGAATTGCTCCGCCTTCCCTCCACCCGGCGCATACGCCCCTCATGCTCAGGCTCTCAACTTCCCCAGTGCCAGGAAATGTACAAAGAGCGTCGGTCATGCGGGTCGACGAACACCTCGGAAAGGGACATAAAGGTTGATGATACACTTCTGGTGGTGCGCTGGAAGGAATAGAGTGGTTATTGAGAAGGGGCGGAAGCCGTGGCCCGGGAGCGCGTGAACTGTAAGGATAAACTGAGTAGTTCACGCTCATATTCCGACCAACACCTACAGCAACTTAAATGATCGTTACACGGGGCTCCATAGTCCCCATTCCCGCAAGTACTGTCTATCTGATAATACAATGCTCGCTTACAACGCCACACCACGTTCAGTGAATCCGACCATCTCCAAGTTCAGCCATATCCGAGTGCAGTTCGTCGCGATATCTCCTTCGATTCTACGAATAAACAAGGCACCGTCCTCCAAAACATACCGCCTAAAGAGGTCCACGGCGAAAACGTCTACGCCACGTCATGAGGGCCTATATAATCCACCCCGATGGCTTCGTCCGAAGTTCTCTTTGCCCATTTTGCAACGAAAGTCTCTTCGATCTTAAAGGACTATACCACATATGTGCGTATCTTACATCATGCTCGGCGTCTGACCTCTCACGAACGTTTAGGCATTGGATGAGACTCTGCTCAACGATGAAAAGCTCGCCATTGGAACACCACCAAGTACTCCCATAATTCTGCATGTCGCGGGATGGGACAGCTTATACTACGATTTGGGCCTTCGACGACCACATCTTCAAGTTCGTTGTGCGAGGATGTTGTCACTTCACACTGTTTGCGGAGCCCTGGCCCTAATAGAGGAGGTCATTAAACTCTCGTGCCCAATGTTTGACTCGTCCCTTGTCAGCGGATCGTTGGAGAAGGGCAGAGACCGACTGTTCTACAAGCACTTTGATTCCTTCTGAAACTCGCAAATTACAGTGTGCTTCATGCCAACCAAGTCTCGTTTATTGTCGTAAGCTTATCGTCGCCATTTCAGACAAATCCTGGGATAAACTTCGAGGCCCATACACTCAGAAGCGGCTTCGCACATGGGTTCCCCTTGCCACAATGCTCCAGGAAGTTTTGTTTCTCAAATGTTGACGGTCTACTGGCGGAAGTTCAAGCAGATTCGGAGGACCAAAAGGAGATGCTTTCTGCCATCGAAGCCGTTGGCCGGTGGAGCAGGCTTCTCAGCTGGAGGGGTTGTTTCTTCACTGACGGCGTGAGCTCACGAACTCTCCTCATCATTCTCCCTACTTACCATCGTCATCTAGGGCATTTCCCTTCTTTCTCGGATAGGGCTCCTTGCACCAGCTCTCTGGATCAAAGATGACGGGACCCTTTATGTTGAACTCCTTGGCGGTTCTTGTGAAGTTGCACGAGTTTGTCAAGATGTATTGAAGGTCAATCAACTTGTATACTCGAATCTTTTTTACCTTCACTGACAATGCAACAGGGCATCGGGACCGTTGTTTCTCCAACCGAAGGTCGATCATCTATTGCTATCGAGGACGTCAAGAATATCACTCTAAATGTTCCGACCATTTCCGGTTGACATTGGCTGAACAGGGTCCCTCGTCTTTCTTGCTGAACTTTTCAATGGCGTTGTCTCCAGTTACTAGTACTACAACAGCCATCGTGCACTTCTGCGACTTCAGAAGCCTGAGGGAAACGATGCTAGATCTTTTCGGCGTAGTATGTATTCCCTTTGCTTCTCGTTCTTCAAATACCGATAGACTTGACACAGAATTACGCCTCAAAATGTCTTCAACGTTGCCGTTAGATGCCCTCCGTGTTGCTGCTTGGTCCTACGTCTCATTTGAGGAAGTTCATCTATGGGGGTGAGATACTGAGTAGTCTGATCCTAGCGAACACGTACTAACCTCTAAGACAGCGACCGTTGGGTAGGCCACTTGCATTGCTCAAGCGTAGACTTCCTCCCATTGACATCATGGAAATAGGACAGTGGACGCTCAGCTGCAACCTACGCTTGCAAGAACACGAAACGCTTGGCCAACAGTAGTTGACCATTGGAACGGCTTACGTAAGTATCGCGTCCTCCCTTTATCGATCTCTTCTTTGTCTTGTCCTCCCTTTTATACGGCTATGATTTCAATGTACGTTTTTTCTATCTCTCCCCACTATTCCACCACCCATTTCATATCCACAGAACGACTGCCTTCCCGCCATGCCATTGGCGGTAGCCTGCCTAGATTTCATCCTTCTTTACACCATCATCTTCATCATCGCCTCTCTCTTCTGTGCGTTTATCTATGTGACGGGTCGGTATATCTATCACAGATTGTACCCTGAATCCCGCTGGACTGCCAACGAGAACGAAAGTTACAAAGGCTCAAATGACCGCCCGACACTACACAACGGTCTATCTGATCGTGGACACCATACGCTTCAGAATCAAAAGCAACACCTCAGCGATACCCAAAATGTTGAGACCTCGGACGACTCGGCCTCGGGTTTGGATGTCTGCCTGTCAGGGATATTCAATATGTCATTAAGCAGGGGAGGGGAGGGACATTGATCAATGCCCAAAACGCGTCTGCTCAGCATGGAATATCTGTTGGGCTTAAGACCCAACCAGATCTCCACACGGATCGTAGTGCACAGGCTCCAAGGGAACCCTGGGATCGTGGATTTCAACGAGTAACTGCACCTTTGGTTCCCGGCGACCTTGCATGGAACCACTGGGTTGTAGCTTCCAACCTTTGATGAAACTTCAGGAAGCCAGCGAGCAACCCCAAAGAGGGTTGGAAACCGCCTCTTGATCACGGCTCCCACCCTTCAATCACCCCTCCAGATCGCGGTCCTCTCCCTACGACACCGGCTCGTCGCCCAGGTATTGTCACCCCCTTTCATTACGTTTCACTGACGCTGAAGATGTGCATTCAAGTTTATCGCCGTCGCCCATTTGGAAGTTGGCTGAAGGCGACGTACATCCACGACGTCCATGTCCGATATTTCACTTCCTCCGACGGTGCCTCTCATATATGTACGCTCACTACCTTCGAAAACCCCGTGTTGAACCTTCGCGCCTGAGGGTTTGTATCTCCATTGGCAAGGACCATCTGATGTCAAAGTGTGGATCTGGGAGCGCAATGGCCATGTAGTGCGAGGCGTCCGATCCAAGCGGGGGATTCGCACCCTCGCCTGCCAGAACATCAGTTCCAAGTGCTGAAGAGCGCTAGACCGCCGTGGATTATGAAGTCAACATGGCAGAAAAGGTATCGGCGTGGTGTGATTTTCTTTTCGTTACTATTGATTCTATGCTACTTCACGAAACACCATTGGCTACCTTCGAACCATCTTGTACATTACAGCACAAAATCTATGCAGGCTTTGTATGTAGCGCGCTGATGCTAAGATGTGAGATAACACGAAAATTCAATTTTAAATCTTGAGTCAATTGACAGTCCGAATTTTCGTGGGTTGGGGGAAAGCTTTGGAAAATTCTCGTGCATGTGCCAACAATTGGATCCAAAACGCGTCGCGCTGATCTCAAGAAATTAGCACAATTCAAATCTGATACTTGTTCAACGGATGCAAATGACATCTCAGATCTCAGGCAGGTGTGATAAGAAAACAAGTATATTTGAAAAAATGAATTGAGTCGAGAATTCCGAAAGCTTTGAGCGTGCCGGTGTGGATCCTGGTTTCCAAGCCCCATGTGAAAGGTCTGAGAAGACAACAAGACCATACCAACCACCGGCACACTAGTGATGAAAAAGAGAGAGAATGGGAGGTGGGAGGGTCGAAAAAATTCCGCGAAGGTTAGAATTCGCGGGGGAAATGGGAATGAAAGCGAAGAAGACAGGAATTTTTATTGCTTCGCGAGGTACTTTATCCTCGCAGCGCACAGACCTCAGAAGGCTGTCAACATCACGGAACGTGATAAATCGGACATCTCCGCATTGCGCTTACAAAGCCCCTGCTTGAGTTGTTTCGAGCTCGCAAGCTCGCTCTCCAACTCGAGCCTCAATCCTTCTTCTCCTCCTTCAGCGTACCAAGTATCATTCACGTAGGTATCATTGTGCCTAACGTTGGCCCCGACTCCATTCAACTTGAAGACTCCGAGCCACTACTCAGAGTCTGAGCCCTGGTAGTGACATCAGTTTCACACTATTTCCTCGACATCCACGCCATTCACCTTTTCATTCCCCGCCAGTTCACCTACCAAAGTGTCAAAGACGCTTCCATGATCATCCCCAAACGTAACCCTCGTCAAAGGCCGCAAAACTGGCAAACACACACCCCTACGCCATAAAAACGACATCCACAGGCATCCTTCCCGCTTCTCCTCTTCAACGTACCACAAAGTCCATGGTACCACACTCACGCAGCACCACTATGCCCGTCTACGCCATCTCCAAATGGTCAGGTGTCCCCGAAGAAGTTCAAGCTTCCTAGCGTAGCCGGCACTGGCGAAGAGCTACTGTGCCTTCGAGGTCTCCATCTTCCTTCACACACGCCTGGGAATGGGGGTAAAGATGGAGAGGACGATACCCCATGCATGCGTCGAAGCGCTGATACTCTTCGTCTACCATACCCACCCTCGACCATACCCACCCTCGAGTTACCAGAAGATCCAAAGAAGACCCGAAAATATGATCGCCAATGCACCTATCCGCCTGCTTCTCCTCCACAGTCTGCGGAACTGAGGCTGGGGAGTTTCCGGACCAATTGACGAGTGATAACACTGCGTTCGTCAAGGAAAAACAGATAATGGGGAAGACGTTTTTTTGAAGGAGGGTGATTTTAACAGGTACGTGTTCATCTTTTCCCTTTCTCTTTTGTGGTTTTTATTCCTGCCTAGTGCTAATAATTGGTTCGAAGCAAAGGTTTGAACCATTCAAAATCCACCATCCCATCCTTCTCTCTGCCTCCTGCTCCCTCCGTCAAAATCTCCTTCGACGCCGGATATGGGGGTTCGAGTCGGGCCATAACTTCCCTGTTCATTGTATACAAGACAATGATTTCTCTTTCGAATCTATTAGCGTTGATGTGGGGAGGAGGAGGGAACATCAGCTTCGATTCTACCTCAAATAGCAATGGGAGAGTTGAAGGTCTGATTGCCTCTCTTGAATGGTCTTCAAGCTCAGAGGACGACAACGGCGACAACGATCAGGAGAGGAGGAAGGAGGTCGAGTTGAACGAATCAGAGTCAACGAAACGAAATTCGACCAAAAACCAACGACATTCCGCGTCCTAATCGAATCCACCCAAAAACTCTTCCGTCGCGTGGGGCAGTCCATGGTCTATTCTCGTTCTCGGCTCCTAGCCCTGGTCCTAGCGCCCATACGAGGAATGAGTCGGGCGCTCGGACGAAAGGAGAAGAGACGATCAAATCGCCCCACCAGCTTGTCTCCTGCCTTACCCGCCCCTACTTACGCCTGTACATACCGGCTGTGGCTCGCACTCTCCGTTGGTACTACCTACGAAGTCTCCGTTTGTTTTTACTGTGGCACCGTTCCCATCAACAGGCACGGGTTTGCCATTCGTTTCTATGCATTCTGGGTCGCCGTTCGCTTCCACAGGTACGGGCCTTCCGTTTGCTCAAGCTCCAATTGAAACAGCAGGACCATACGAGCTTAGATACGACCATGCGCCTCTACCTTTATCTTCACTCCCAACAGGATCTTCAGGTTCCGTACGCTCATTCAGTGCAATTTCGATCCGTTAAGCGTCAGTGGTCCAGGCCAACAACACGCGCATCTCCTTCCTCTCCCGGGACATGACGGACAACTTACCGTAGACCCCCACCTCTTTCCGGTGCCGGTGGTGTGGGCGGGGAAATGAAGAGGGAAGGAGTGGCTACGACACTGATTCTGGGTCTGTTATACATCATCCTAGGCCACGGCCTGGTATTGGAGTTGAGAGGTTGGTTGGATATTGTGATGATAATATGTCTGGTGATGATGTTCCTCCTCGTGGTGCTGGTCCTGACAGACTGAGCCAGAAGCAGAAACAGAGGCTGAAGGAGGATATCTACGACACCGCCCCATTACACTTTTTCGAAGGTGGGGACGAACCGAGCATGGCGAACCTCCTTCTCCTCTCCCACTCTCCTGCACACCCAATAACAGGGGCGGAGGCGTAGGAGTTGGAGTTGGGTGAGACTGTTAAGCGTGCTGGAGCGACGTCCGCTGGTGTTGGAGGAAGTGGAGTTGGAGTTGTTAGGACTGGGAGGGGGAGGAAGGTTCGTGCGAAGGTTGAGGGGGGTAAATCCGATGAGGAGAAAGATGGAGTCGAAGGGAAAGCTGAAGGGACAAGGAAAGAGAATGCGGAAGGGAAGGAGAATGCCAAAAGGCGCGAAAAGCGAAGAAGAGGAACTAAACGCAGACGAGGAGGAAGAGGAAGATGTGGGGGAGGAGAGGAAACCGGATTTATGGAGCGTATTCGATCTTGACCCATCTCAAGCATCATCAGCGTTAGTAGGGTCTGGAGATGCTTCAGTTCTGGATCTAAACCAGCACACAACAGAACAAGACGTCGCAAACTCGACAGAACACGACCTCACCACACTCGCAACCTGCCAAGAAGCGCTAGACCAACGTGAGCTCGGGCTGGCGGATAGACATTGAGAGGATGGAGGAGAGGGTTAGGGAGGTGCAGAGGGATGTTGGGTATCGCGAGGAGGCGGTTGGGCGACGTGAGGAGGCGGTTGGGCGGAGGGAGAGAGAGTTGGAGGAGAGGGAGATGACGGTTGAAAGGAGGGAGCGGGGGAGGTACGAGAGAGGGAGGAGAGGGTCGTGGAACTTGAGCAAGCGGTTGATGAGCGAGGAAGGGCACTTGATCAGAGGGAATATGAGCTTGAAGAACGTTCTAAACGGGTTGAGGAAGAAATGGAAACGCGTTCTGGTCGACTCAACGCGTTCACTTCGTCGAATTCATCGCCCATCACTCTTCTTCGGTCTGTCGTCTTACGTGTGCTGGGCGAGAAGACGTCTTCGTTTCTCTTTCCCTCCTCCAACCCAAGTTCCTCCTCCAACCCGAATGCTCCCACCACCCCCCCGTAAAGAAGGCTCTGAGGTGACTGGGAAGCCCGACGCAATCTGTACCACAGGTGGACGGGGGAGTTACTTCGTACTCGTAGGCATTGGCGTGTGTGCCGTTGTGTTGAGGTTGACTGGGGTTGGGATGTGGAGTTGGTTGGCGAGGAGTAGCAGGAAGTAGTGCCATTGACCTTGAGCTTGCTGCTTGAATGGTCGATTTTGGGCCTCGGTGGGAGATACTTTCTCCAGGTTTATGACTTTTATGACCCATACAACTTTTGATGATTTCTTTTGGGCTGACGCTGACGAGGATTTGAATAAATGAACGGGCGCTTATGTGAGAGTTTCGGGTTTTGTTCGTGTATATCTCTGATATAATTACTTATACCTTATCTACCGTTTCACATGAATCTCTGAGCAGGGTTGAACTTTTGAAAGCTGCAGCAGTTGCAAGTGCATTGTTATTCATGATCAGTTCCTTGTTTCTTGTGTTACACATTACCACATCTACGGTACCAGTACATCAACCCCTAATTATAAATCCATATCTCATTCCGAAACCACACACTCTTTCCAATGTTCACCAATCAATAAAATTCCGTAGAATCTGGCAAACGGTGAATATCAAATAAGTACTCCGACAGAGAGAGGAGACAACTCACCCGTTCCCACAACTGCCAAAGAAAGTCAATAACCACATAGTGACCCAAAGGCAAATTGGAGACTCACAGCCTTTTTCACCTTTGGAATTAATCACCATGTATCCTGAATAAGCCTCTGTTCCGACAAAGCATCAACAAACTGGTGTGGAAGCAGAAAAGGAAAGAAATACGGTTCTGAGGGGGGTACACCACGGAGACGATAACTCCATCCGTGTAAACAATCTCATCTTTGTTTCTTGAAAGCCAGGATTGAACGTCTGACTCTGTGGTGGGATACAATAGGATGAGAGTTACATTGTCTCAGGAACTGTTACTCACTCCAATTATTATTTAACCGAGCACGTTGTGTGAATTTTGAATCTGGTCCATCTGAAAAAGCACGGTTTATTGCCGCAGTGTCTAGTGGATATTCACTGAGAACTTTACCTGGTGTAAGTTTAGCCTTTTGGTCAGCTGCTGTATTGGCGGTTGCATTGACAAGGGCTACGGGATCATCTTCATCGCTACCCGGATAAGTGTCACCTTCGAAGGATATGACGTCGGTGTCGCTCATGGCAGCATCACTATCCGTGTCTTGGAAGAGTTCCATATCCTTGTAGAGTGCATGACCGGGCGTGACAAGGCCTTCAGCTTTTGCGATGCATGCTTTCAAAGACCCAGCGGTATGAGGGGGAGCGATGAAAACGGCATTGATGCGTCCTAACGAAATGTCACTTTCATCAAAGGATGTCTTTGCCTTTTCCTCTCCTTTTCCCTCTAATGAGTAAATGCGATAGTATACTGCAAAGGTGATGAGTGCACTGTTTGGGTAGGAGACGTCGACAAGACTTGCCGTAATTGTTATCGATATCATCAGAGCGTTCCGGCAGCTTCTCCGATTGCGAGACCTCCTCCGTCCTCTTCTCAGACTCGACAACCAACGCGATCGGATCATGTATAGATAGCCCCGGCTCAGAAAGAGCCTTCAAAGAGAGGCGGGCGGAGTCTTCTTTGGGTGCTGGGCTTGAGAGCGGTGTGAAAACAAGCGCCTTGTTGGGCTCCGAAAGGCCCTCAAATTTGCAGAGAGACCGCTTGATAGACGCCACCGTATGAGGAGGGGCAAACAATTTCGACGGAATGCGGCCAATGAAACGGTCGTTGTGGTAGAGGGCGTGATTCGATTCAAATGCACCGAGTTTGGTGTATAGACGGTAATATACTGCATGAGTAAATTAGGCCATCGAAGCTGGCGGTAGAGTTTTCGTAATAGGGCGTACCATAGCTAGGACCCGTCCTTTCCGTTGACTTTCCTCCTTTCGCTGCTGAATCTGTACCCCCTTTGCCGTCCGAAGAGGCTGTGGAACTGGACGTATGATCATGACCACGCGAAGTAGACATCGCTGTTTCCAACGAGAACCTGTTGAGATATCAGCAAGATGGACAGAGTTATCGAACACGTTTTCATTGATCATACACTCGTCCACGAGGCATTGGCGCCTGGCGCTTATGCATCAACCGTCACCGGTACATAGTACCGCGTCACCTCGCTGCCAGGTAGGGTGTCCTGAAGTTGCCGCCTTCCCTCCATTCCTGAGCATGCGCAGGCACTGGCATCTCCTCGGGCCTCTCAAGCTTCCCCTGTCCCTGGAAAAGTATGAAGTGCGAGTTCATGAAAAGCCACAAAGAGAGGTGGAACTGAACGTTGAACGTTGATGATACAGTTCTGGTGGTGGGCTAGGAGGAATAGAGTGGTTATTGAGGAGGGGTGGAAGCAAGGTGGAAGCCGTGTATGATGTGCGTGAGGACTATCGAGTAACAGCACATGTAAGTTCCCCTCCCAAACCTATTCCAGTGCACACTCATATCTATTTCTACCCGACGAGCACCTCCAGCAATAATCCCCATTCTCGCAAGTACTAACTTACTATTCGGTAGTATGTTCGCTTACAACACCACATCATGTTCAGTGAATCCGATTTTCCAACTATATGCGAGTGCGGTCAAGAGTGCGGTTCGCCGCTATATCTGACTTCTACCTCACGTACTTCGACCAATAAACAAGGGGTCCACGGCGGACAGGTCTACTCCACGTCACAACGGCGAGGTTTCTTGATAGCAGTTATCTGGCAGCTATACACCCCTCTCCCCCATGGCTTCGTTCGAATTTTCCTTGTTGGCTGCCTTGCAACGAAATTCTCTTCGATCTTGAAGGGCCATACTGCATATGTGCGTAGCTCACATCATGCTCGCACTCTCACTCGCGGAGCTAGAGTGAGCAATTGACGAGCGAGAATGGGCAATCCGAGTCGATAAGAGAGGATCCGATCTTGAAGAACGCTCTAAGCATGTTGAAAAGCTCGAGGAAGCAACGCAAACATATCCTGCTCAACTTGGTGGTCTCAACGCGTCCACTTTGGCTCTTGGTTCGAATTCATGGTCTATTACTCTTCTTCTTCGGTCTGTCGTCTTTCATGTGTTGGGCGACAAGACATATTGTTCCTCATTTGCTCTTGCTCTCCCTCCTCCTCTAACCCAAGTTCTTCCTCCAACCCAGGTTCTTCCACCACCACCACCACCACCACCACCACCACCACCACCTCCTCCTCCTCCTCCTCCTCCCCCTCAATCCCCCCTCATAGACCCCAATGCGATCTATACCTCTCAACAGGTGGACGGTGGAGTTACTTCGTACTCATGGACTTTGGCGTGTCTGCCGTTGTGTTGAAGGTGCTCGTCAGGAGGTGACTGGGGTTGGGGTGTGGAGTTTATTGGCAAGGAGCAGGTAGTGCTGACCTTTGTGCTTGCTGCTTCAATGGCTGATTTGGGGCCTCGGTGGGCTTTTCACCAGATTGATGACTTTTATGACCTATACAATTTTTTTTCGATCTCTTTTTATCTCTTTTTAACTCGCCGAAGAGGAATTGAACAATTGAACGCGCGCATTTGCGAGAGTTTTGCTCTTTTCTTTTCGTTTATATCTCCGATATAGTTACCTATACAAACTTTTGAAAGCTTCAACCTAGTCAGCTGTTGCAATTTGCGCGATGTCTGCTTCGTGTTTCATGATCAACTCCTTGTTTTTCTATGTTACATATTAACAAATCTACTGTGGCCGGTACATTAACCCTTTCTGAGCCTAAGTCCTGGCAAAATCAAATAACTTCAACAAAACCTAGCAAACGTAGGTATCAAATACTTCGACAGAGGGACAAGACCACTCACTTTGATCCACAACTGCGAAAGAAAATCAAAAACCACCTAATAACTCAAAAGCAAATTGGAGACTCACAGCCTTTTTCACCCTTGGAATTGACCACCATGTATGCTGAATGATACTCTGTTCCGACAAAGCGTCAACAAACTGGTGACGAAGCAGAGAAAGAATGAAATACGGTTGTCAGTGAGACTCCTCACAGAAACGACAACTCCATCCGTGTGAACGATCTCACTGATGTTTCCTGATGATAGCCAGGTGGGTTTGTTTACTTCGGAACATGCTATGGGATACTTTAGGATGAGGATCAGATTATCTCAGGATGTTACTCACAGAAAGTACTAGTTAACCGAGCACATTTCGTGAATTTTGATTCTGGTCCATCTAAAAGAACACGGTCAGTTGCGACAGCGTCTAGCGTATATTCACTGGAAAATTTACCTGGTGTAGGTTTAGCCTTTTGGTCTGTTACTGTATTGGCGGTTGCATTGACAAGGGCTACGTGATTGCCTTCATCACTACCCGGATAAGCATCACCTTGGAGGGATATGACATCGGCGTCGCTCATGGCAGCGTCACTGTTCATGTCATGGAAGAGTTCCATGCCATCGTAGAGTGCATGACCCGGCGTGACGAGGCCTTCAACTTTGGCGATGCATGCTTTCAAAGATCCAGCGGTGTGAGGGGGAGCGATGAAGAGGGTGTTGATGCGCCCTAACGAAATGTCACTTTCGTTAAACGACGTCTTTGCCTTTTGATCTTCTCCTTCTAGTGAGTAAACGCGATAGTACACTGTAAAGGTGCTAAGCGTACTACTATTCGGGTAGGGGACGTCGAAAAGCCTTGCCGTAATGGATATCCGTATGATCAGATCGTTCCGGGAGCTTCTCCGGCTTTGTAACGTCCTTGGTTCTCCTCTCCGACTCGACAACCAGCGCGATCGGATCCTGTTCAGACAGGCCTGGCCCAGAAGCAGCATAAAGAGTGAGGCGAGCAGAGTCTTCTTTGGGTGCTGGGCTTGAGAGCGTTATGAAGACAAGCACCTTGTCGGGCTCGGAGAGGCCCTCATGTTTGCATATGGACCGCCTGATAGACGCTACCGTATGAGGAGGAGCAAAAGACTTGGATGGAATGCGAGCGACGAAACGGTCGTTGTAGTAGAGGGGGTGATTTGATTCAAATGCGCCTAGTTTGGTGTATAAACGGTAGTATACTGCATGAGGCCATCAGGCCACCGAAGCAGGAGTCGAGCTGTCGGGATATTAGGGCGCACCATAGGTAGGACCCATTCTTTTCGATGCTGAATCTGTACCCCCTTTGCCGTCTAAAGAGGGAGTGGAACTGGATGTAGACATCGCCGCTTCCAACTAGAACCTGTTGAAATGTTAGCAAGATGGACGATCGGAGGAAAGAGTTATCGGACGCTCCTTCGTCATACACCCATCCACGAGGCATTGGCGCTTATCGTTGAGCGTTACTACGTGGGAGCGGTACGTGAAGAGCGGGATAGTGAGTAGACCAAGTAATCCTCTCATGAGGTATTATTGACGCGCTTTGATTTAGTTACTTACACCTGTGATAATACCAGATCTACGGTATATCAACCCCTCCTGAGTCTAGTTCCTCAGATATTCCATTCCGAAAGCACGCTCTCGCTCTGATGTTCACCAATCAAATGAAAGCAACATAATCTAGCAAACGATGGATGTCAGATACTCCGACATGGCGACCCAAAGGCAAATTGGACACTCACAGCCTTTTACACCCTTGGAATTTATCACCATGTATCCTGGCCAAAAGGCTGTTCCAGGGAAGTGTCAACAAACTGGTGAAAACTTAGCAGAAATGGAAAAAAAAATACTTTGGGTAGAGGGGCTCTTCATGGAGACGACAACTCCATCCGTGTGTACGATTTCATTGTTGCTTATTGGTAGCCAGGTGGGTTGGTTTTCTGCGTAGCCTGCAGGGGGATATAGATTGAGGATCAGATTGTCTCATGAAATGTCACTCACTGTAAGTATGAGTTAATAGAACGCGTTTCGTGAAATTTGAATCCGGTTCATCTGAAAGAGTACGTTTTGCTGATGCAAGTTGGGGGTTACTCAGGACGTTACCTGATGTAGGCTTAGCCTTTTCGTCCGCTGCTGTATTGGCGGTTGCATTGACAAGGGCCACGGGATCACCTTCATCGCTACCAGGATAGGTGTCGCTCAGAAAGGATATGACATCGGCGTCGCTCATGGCAGCGTCACCATTCATGTCCTCGAAAAGTTCCATATCCTTGTAGAGTGCATGACCCGGTGTGACGAGACCCTCAACTTTTGCGATGCACGCTTTCAAAGACCCAGCGGTGTGAGGGGGCGCAATTGAGAGGGTGTTGATGCGTCCTAAGGAAATATCGCTTTCGTCAAAGGACGTCTTTGCCCCTTCATCTGCTTCTCCCTCCGATAAATAAACACGATAGTATACTGCAAAGCTAATAAGAGCATTATTTGAGTAAGAGACGTCGACAAGGCGTACCATAGTGGACATCGGTATGATCAGAGCGTTTCGGGAGATTCTCCGACAGCGTGATGTTCTTGGTCCTCTTTTCCGACTCGACAACCAGCGCGATCGGATCCTGTTCAGACAGGCCTGGCCCAGACGGAGCATAGAGAGAGAAGCGGGCAGAGTCTTCTTTGGGTGCTGGGCTTTCGAGCGGCGTGAAGACGAGCGCCTTGTCGGGTTCTGAGAGGCCCTCAAGTTTGCATAGGGACCGCCTGATAGACGCCACCGTATGAGGAGGGGCAAAAGACTTTGGTGGAACGCGACCGATGAAACGGTCGTTGTCGTAGAGGGGGTGAATTGATTCGAATGCGCCTGATTTGGTGTATAGACGGTAGTATACTACATGAGTATATCAGAATATCGAAGCAGGAGTCGAGTTTTCGGGACAGGGCACACCGTAGTTAGAACCCGTCCTTTTCGATGCCGAATCCGTACCCCCTTTGCCATCTAAAGAGGGAGTGGAACTGGACGTATGACCAGGCAGAGTAGACATGCTGTCTCCAACCAGAACCTGTTGAAATATTAGCAAGATGGAAAGAGATACCGGGCACGCGGCACGCCTTTGTCATGCACCCCCTGGACCATACACGATGTATTGGCGCTTAGCGCTTAATGTTCAGCGTCAAAACGCTGTAGGTCATCTGGCGTTGGGAGAGTAGAACTCTAGGTGTGCAACGGGTTGAGCCGGGCCGTAAAAAATTGAGAGGTCGATGATGAAGACAGCCTTCCACACCCCGAAAGATCTCATGTCACCTTATCTGATAACAGGCTTAACCTTGCAAAGTTCCTCAACATAAATCTCTGACTTGAAAACGTTCTACGGCTTCAAAACCATTTGCTTTGGATCCCTTGTAAATCTTATCTTATCAGCTAGGAATTGCGCCATCTTTGGCGATCGTTCATCTGACAAACCCCCAAGCTCCTTACAACCTTCCTCCATCGTCGTTAAAACAACCATAACCCCTCAAACATGTCGAAAACAAACTTCTACGACGTCACTTCGCCCACGGAATTCCAGGAACTTCTCTCCGCAGACCTCAACCGCGTATCAGTGATCAATTTTTGGGCGCCATGGGCCGAGCCATGCAAGCAAATGAACGAAGTCGTCAAGGAACTCTCAAAGAAGTATCAACAGACTCTATTCCTGCAAGTGCGTGTCCAATCACCGCTTAACCTCTCTTAAACCGAGTTCAAGACGAGGGCTTGATGCTATAGGTCGAGGCGGAGGAACAAGCTGACATCGCCGAATCTTTCGATATCGAGGCTGTTCCGACGTTCATCATCCTTCGGGTACGTTTCACGGCCTTGCTTCTTTTGTTTCTAGCTCATAGGTTAACTCTAGGGACATCTCCTGCTCGATCGAGTCGCAGGCGCCGACGCAGCGGCACTCACAAAGTCCGTTGAAAAACACACCGCAGGGCCATCCTACAACCCCCAATCGCGGACAGACAAAGCCCCAGCCCCAGCCCCCACCACCGTCCCTTCTTCACTCCAAGACGGGGATTCCAAGCAACCTGAGAGCGAGGCGCAGCTGAACGAGCGCCTCCGTGGGCTGATGAACCAGAGCAAGGTGGTGGTGTTCATAAAGGGATCCCCGCAGGAACCACGATGTGGGTTCTCCCGCAAGATTGTAGGGTTGTTGAAGGATAAGGGTGTTGAGTACAAGCACTTTGATATCCTCACGGACGAGAGCGTCAGACAGGGTACGTTTGCTCACTGGCTTTCTTGACTGCGAGGGTATACTTATGACCTCGACAAACCGATATAGGTCTGAAGAAGCTGAACGACTGGCCGACCTTCCCGCAGCTGATCATCAACGGCGAGTTGGTGGGTGGGTTGGACATAGTGCAAGAGATGGCGGAGAACGGAGAGCTTGAGCAGGCCCTGGCGTAGATGACTATGCTGATGAGCTCACTTGTGTGGGTCGAATACTTATTGTCGTCATTCAACTCTGTATAGGATCTTTATTCCATTGCTTCTCGGGTGATCGAACCTAAGGACAGAGATATATTCTAAACTCACCCCGAACAAACTACATGTGTATGTTCTTCCACAGCAGCCACAATCGGGATCACAGGGAAGTCTACTGCGAATGATTGTAATTGACCTCATTCGCCATATTCCTCATCTCAGCGACATCCTCATCTGACATGACGCTATTGACGTGATCGTACCGCAGCACACACCAGTGATCCCCGGAGCATCATAAGACTTGGCTTGGAGGTGGAAGATTAAGCACTGTTCCCGAACCAGATGGAGGAACGATAGTCGCGGTTCCTGGACCATGTCGAAGATGATGCATTCAATCATATTGCCGCCTGCTGCGATCCTCGGAGCGTCGTAAGATTTCGAGATCCAAGAAATGTCACTGTTCCCGAGCAACAGAGGAATACTGGCAATTCCTGAGATAGACCATCGAAGATGAACGTTCCATACATATCGGTACCATGGGCAGACTCACTTTCAATTGACGTGATCGTACCGCAGTACACACCAGTGGTCCCCGGAGCATCATAAGACGTGGAGAGACTTGCAGGCGTAAGATCAAGTCACTATTCCCGAACCAGATGGAGCAGCAATGGTCGCGGTTCCTGGACCATGTCGAAGATGAGGCATTGCAGCGTGCGATCCTCGAGTTGCCAGTATTCCTCTGTTGCTTGGGAACAATGATCGAAATCTTACGGCGCTTCCTGAGATGGACCATCGAAGATGAACGCTCCACACATATCGGTATCATGGGCAGACTCACTTTCAAGTATGTAGAACGGCTGATCGTCATGATACCCGGTGTTCCCCATCTCAACGAAATCTTCATCCGACGCGGAAGACAATCGCCAATGGCGGGGATCGACCTTCCACACTACAATCCCCCGTCAATCCGTATGACATGATACCATTGACACCACCTAGCAACCTGTGATCCTCGAAGCATCGTAAGAATTTGAGACGCAAGATCCCGATATCGGGGAACAGCTGCGGTGGACTTCGTCGGAGACGAATCTTTCATCTACCGGGCCTCAGCGTTCCTCACCTTGCATCGACCATTGCGATTGACGGGAATCGACCTTCATCTTATCCATCCCGTCTTCCTCATCTCAGCAAAATCCTTATCTATCATGATGCAGCTGACATCACATCACGGCGGACGCAAGATCCAAATACTGTTCCCGGACAAGAGAGGAATAGTCGCGGTTCCTGGGTAGACAACGTCGACGATGAACGTTCTATCTATCTGGGCATAATAATAGGACGACTCACTTGGCTTGAATTGACCTTCATCGCCTCCTCATCTCAGCGAAATCTCTTTTGACACAAGAGACCACCATGATTGACGGGAGTCGAGACTCAACATCTTCATTTGATCTTCATCCCCATGTATCTGACAAAGCCTGTGATCACCGGAGTATCATTAGAGTTTGAGATGCAAGATCCTGCCACTGTTCCCAAACAAGAAATGAACACTGGCTATTCCTGACGGAGAGTCGGAGACCACCACGACGCCACTTCTGCCCAAGGATGAACGTTTCTTCCGTCTGTGCATAATGGGAAGACTCACTTTGAGATACGTGGGACGATATTTCCCGATAACTCTCTAACGCTGGGAATTAGGAAAAGTACATGTGTATTAGGATGCACGCACCCCACCCGTGCAACCCGGTGTGCGACAGCTCCCGCGAACGTCGAAGGTTAACCAACTCTTGCCTAATCGGAGCAGTTCATTTTCCAACGGGCGCTTTTTTAAGTCCGCCTAAGAACTGCACTATCATATCAGCATCGCGCGCATTTGGTGACCCCGGGTTTCTCACTTGGCAGAGGACCCCCGAAAATCCTGCTAAATGGTAGATACCGATCCGGACAGAATTTTTCAAAATGAGGCGCTAGGATAGATACAAACCGGACAGGTTTTCGAAAAAATTAGCAAAATGCTAGATACAGAATCCGGACAGGCTTGCGAGAAGAATCAGAGGCTAGATACTAACCGGACAACTATGGTCGCGTAGTTCAACGGAAAAAAAGTATGTACTTTACGAAGCCTGACGTGTGGTCTGCGGTTCGAACCTTTTGCCGCACAAAAAAATTTGGCCCTGACTTGGGCTAGATACGCAGTTCGGACAACTTTTTGAAATTTTGGTCTAGGCTAGATAAAATCCGGACAGACTTCGCCAAAATTGGTACGGACAAGAATCTGGAAATCGGCAATTTCAGTATCTATCATTTAGCAGGATTTTCGGGGGTCCTCTTGGCAGCTGCGTGATCGCAAGTTACCGCACGAGTCTCGAGCTCGGTCACAGGCACGTTGTCTAAATCGAGTGGCGCTGACTCCTGACACGTTATTGCGGAGCCGCATGGGGTTGCACTCCAAGGAAATTTTCTTTGTGATTATCCACACCGTTGTTCGGGGAGTGCGGGAGCTGACGCGCCTATTGTAGACTGAGGGTTCGCGCCGGCTCCGAAGGGAGGGAGGGAACGTGTCACTAACCAAGCAGATCGAAGCATCTAAAAACCTTCTTCCTTATTTTCAGTCCTCGATCGATCGTGGGGGTAAGTGTTGTGTTTCTGAAAGCCATTTTCATTTCGGGATGACTTTTCATGAAGAGGCGCGGAGAAGGCCGGTGGGGGTAGGGCGCGATAGTCAATCAGTTGCACTTAGAAGGGACTTCGGGGAAATCATGAGAGATCTTCGGCCAAAATTATATTGAGTTTTCTAAACCGGGATAAGTGGGCCACAAAAGCAAGGAAACGTATGAACTCACTTGTGGACACCCTCTTATACCCACAAATATCGTGCACGTTCCATGGGATGGGTAGGGTAAAATTGAGATCATTGTCATGTTTAAACGCCACAGGTGCCTTCGAGCGTCCGAGGGATTCCTAGAATGGCAAGAACAGCCATAAACATTCGGAGCTTGCCCCTGCAATCAAAGAGATATCAGAAGTAGATCAGCCAGCACACCAAACAGACTCTTATTAAACATAGTGCGTACCCCAGAACTAATGCGGGTGCGCACCGGCGATGTCCCCACCGTCCGATGACGTGGGAGAGGTGTAGAATGAGCTCCAACATTTATCAGCGGAAACCGCCGGCAAACCTGAAGGCCACTGTATTTGACTATGGGTTGAAGGACCGGTCCTTAGCACGTCATCAGGATGTGCTTAGCCCGGGGTCAAGGAGCTGCGGACAAGCGCACGTATCTATCTTCATCCTCGATCGAAGGTTCCCACATGGGTAAGGGTGCTTGATCAGGCGTTGCTGATGTCACTGATCATGATAGATGCATAGGTTCAGTATAACGAGATGCACGGGATCAGATAATAAAGATTTCTGGAGATAGGGCGTGAGACGCGAGAGTAAAAATAAGTGTCAAGCACTTACCTCGAAATTAATAGATGTGAAGTAGGTACGACAGATCAAACTATGATGGGCGTGTGCAAGTAGGGTTAGCTAGTACCCCAGATGCGGACCGGTGAATGGTGAGGGCTTACTTACTTCCGGGAGAAAGACCCAGCTAACCTGATTCACGCGCACTTCAGTAGACGAAGCCTAGACAAACGTCAAAAACACCCCCAACGCAGGGCAACTCGTAGACATACCTCAGGCTTTGCAACCCTTCTTGTGACCGGGCCAGTCCAGCTTTTGGCACGCCCTCGTTTGTGGGTGACAATACCTCGCCTTCTTACACTTGGAGCAAAGCATTAACTTCTCGCCTTCTCTCCCACATAACGTACAGCATTTGCTCCCCTTTACCATGCGTTTCTTACTTTCCTTTTCCACGAGGATGGAAAACCCAGGGACCTTTGACTTTGAGTTGCGAATCACCCGGCCAGCGCTAACACCATCCCCATCGAGGATATCTACGTTCCCTGCATGGGTTAAGAACCATTCCAAAGCATCCATTGCGCGTCGAACGACTTTTGAATCTCGTGGGTCGTACACCTGAACGATTTCCTGTGCAACGTATCCGCCATACCGATTTCGGTGATTGACGTCACCGCCTGCATCGTAAAGAATTTGCGCATACTCCAGATCAAATGCGGGCTTGGTGGAGAAAGAGTGTGACAATGCAGTTGTCCCTGACAGGTCTTTGCCGTGAACAGGCACTTTGGCTGTGTCAATGAAGAACTTGGCAATTGCGATATATGAAGGACGGAACGACGGCACGATGAGAGAGAATAGGCCAAGGAGGTTGTAAATAGGAACACGAGTCGGACCCCAATGGAGACTAGCGAGGTCTTGTGCCACGAGTTCTTCAGCCACCTCCAGCGTCAACGCGTCCGAAGAACCGCTGGGCCCTTGCAATTTCTTCTGCACGCGACCACGATACTCAGCTTTGACAGCTGACAGATCGCCCCCAAGCAGTAAACGGCCATAACTGTCCAGATCACGAGTTGGTTCCATGCATTGAGAAGTGCAATAGGAGCGCAAGCGCTGAGACTCAAATCCTTTGAGAGTGTCTTTCGATAGAAACAATTCTTGCAGTGACCTAGATATTCACGTAAATTTGAAGTCGACGCTGAAGGCAGTTGTCCTTACCTGCCTTGCCCTGAGTCTAGGTTTTTCGCAAAATCTCCGAGGCTCTCTTTAAGAAGGTCGTTAAATGTCATCTTGGCGCTGCAGTTCGCGTCGGAATGTGGACGCGTTAAGTATAAACCCCAGTGAGGTTTTCAACAATCACAGTGACGGGTGACTCAACACGGTCACGTTTCATTGTTTGTCATTGATTTGTCAAAAACCCTTGAATCAACTCTCATCCTTTTCGCAGATCGGATGCCAGTGAGAGCTGGTGAGGACTTGACTTCAGTGGGTCTTTCTGATGCCATTTCTTCAATCAGCATAAAACGAAAGATTACATACCAGAAACGTGGCATCATAATCATGGAATTATGTCAAGTCCGTTACTTGCGGACGCAAAGAACCTCCGGACCCATGGATCCTTTACTGAAGTGGACGAGGATGTTTTGAGCATTGCATTAAGAACTCGATGCAGGCCTCCGGAGGGGGTCGGCCGCCATAATAACTTAACGACTTCGCGATATCGATCTGACGCATTTTCAGATCGTATAACAAGATCCGTTAAATTAAGTGCCCTAACTTGATTTTCTACCTCGCTACTGATCAGGTTTTGGGACGAGGTCTTACGCGATCTTACGGCCCAACATTCCGTATAATTTGGGCTGCGCCCAATCGAGAGGTAATGTCTCTTTGTTGCCCCTCCCAAATACCCCACCCCCCAACTCTGCAGTAATCCACCCGCTTCTGGATAAACAGCACCCCTTCATTGCGTGGGCTTGGAGGCGTTCGGAATTCATACCGAAGTGTCTGAACTCAAGTCACGGGTCTGATTTCTGGACTTATGAAAGTCAGGTTTGCTAACCACAATCTATTCACTACCTAGGCCTCTCCAGTTGGCGTCTTTTTTGGACATGTAGCATGCTGCATTGTATCACGCCTGAACGGTTTATCCCGCGCTGTCAGATAACGTCGTCTGGCCGTGGTGACCTGAGGTTTCATTTCGAATATTTTAACTTGAATGTGTGCTCATATCACTTCTAAAGGAAATTTATAGAGCTGCGTGGCGGAAGGCACGTCCGGGAGTCCCTCTTGTGCGATCGTTCAGCGACGAAAGCACAGGGACATTACATTTACATGTTGTGCTTGAGGGATTTTCATTTAACCGATCGCCTAGCGCCAGCCAGCTCCGCATAAGTAGATGTCGAGGTTCATTTGATCTTTTAGGTTCGATAGTTCAGAGGTGTGTCACAAGGAAGTATACCTTGGAAACAGACCAACGTAAGTCCACGGCGTTTCCTCTTCCACGGATGCGGGCCTGACCCCGGGTCGAAGAACTTGTGAGGCATCAATAAATTTCTTGCCTGTTCAGTGAAATCTATGACGATTGACAACTTGTATTTAGAGGGGTAGGTGATAGATGGTTCTGGGATGGCATCGTGCGTCAACCAACGAATCTGTGGTCCTTCAGTGGACGTTATGACTTTCAGTTTTACTTCATCAATTCCCCAAGGCCTGGCCGGCGAAGCAGCAAACAGAGTCGCGTTGACCCATTTAGAAACATAACGCGGTTGTAAGCTGGGGCCGACTGTCGTGATCATTTTTCAAATAGAATTGGAGATTTCCCCAAAATCAACGTCACCGTCACCTGACGAGTAGCACCACGGGCAAGAAAAGCTAGGAAGGTTTAAAACCCCTGAGGGTGAGCTAGGAAAGACAATTGAAGCTAGCAGGGGCTGGAACCTCATAATAATCCAGAAAGAGAGGTTAGGGCTGGTCCAACTTGGAAGCCGAAGTTAAAGGGGAGAAATACTAGTAGTACCGCGAGAGTCAAGGGGAAGGTTCGGCATCGATTCTCAGCGCCTAAGGCCAGACTTATCTGCCATTTTTCCTGTGAGGCTTATGGTGTCGGCAGTGGGACCTGGGTCAGCAACACAACGCGATTTCATGTATCTGAAAAATAAGTAGGAGGGATGGGGAGGTGACCACGGTCGTAATGTAGGCTTCTTGAGAATCTGAAAGAACGACTCTTAATGAAGTCACAACCGCCATACCGATTTTTTTGAGGCGGATTCAAAGGATTTGAACCGTCGAAAATCGGCCAATTTTGACAAGGAGGAATCCCGTCACGGAAGCCTGGGCAATCTTGCAGAGAGAATGAGCTTGATTGTTGAATGGTTGAAGTGAATATTGAATATTGAATTCTCACTGAAGTTAAGTGATGACGTTCTGAGACACTGGCCCTGTCTCTTCAGATCCTCAAGCTCAAGGCCTCCGCCCAAACCTACTGACGTTACTAACACTCACAAATTGTATCAACTATAAATTTCCGGAGAGCGAATCGTTCAGTGGGCGGTGCTTGATGTCGAGATGAAGTGAACAACTAGTTTTTTTGCATATGTAATAAGTACTCGGCCTCTGCCGAACCTTGCTGCAGTGATCGAAGTTGGATTTTACTCTTTGGCACACTCCCGGTCAACTTTTTCTTCGACATTTCAGCATATCTCTGCCGTCATAGATTTGGGCGACTTCAGAGAATCCATAAGACATTATTTTTGACCATGAAAGAAACAGTGATCTTCGTTCGTTGACCCTTGAGTCGTCTTCATGCGATCATCGGAATGTTTTTTGACTTTTGTCGTTTAGGTAGTCACTCCGTCGAGGTTCACGACAAATGAAACTTACGGCTTATGCTTCCAGTTGCTGACTCTTTTACAAGTGAACCCCACTAACGACTTAACTGCGCCTGCCTGTCGCTTCTTTGAGAATATTTCCTTTTCCCTTCAAGCTCTTTCCTCGCTACGCACCCGCGCCTCTACCGCCGCAATTCATATTTCTTATATCATGGTAAACACGTTATTTGGACTGTGGTAAACGAGATACTGGCCGCTTCTCAATCCTTGCGCGTGGCCACCAATTCTTCCTTGAATGATCACCGCGACCTTAGGTTGCCACTCCGAAAAGGCCTTTTTTTAATTGGGGACCTCAGCTAAGTAGGTCAGCCTGTTTACCGTCTACCAGAGACTTAACCTTTTTATGGTTTGTTCTATCCCTACGCCTTCATTCCACAATAGACGCTCGGCCTCCTTCAACTTCACGTGCAATCCTAGACGTTGATGTCAGCAGTGGGGGCTACGACCCCTCTGTCTACACCGACGCGACCGTACGTGCACACATTGCCTTCGACATCGAGGAAGCAGGGCTGGGCGTTGTTGGTCGTTTCAAACTTCTCCCCTTGAGCAAGCAGCCACCTATTTGAACAACGCTCTTGATTGATACTTCCCTGATCGGCGTCGTATAAAAATAATCGCGGAGCCAGGGCGCCTTTACGTTCCGAAAGCATTTAGACTGGCTGCCCATATTATCGCCTCTCTTATTATGCCATTCCAAGAAATCTCCGGTCAGCGAGCGGTTATATGTGCCTCTTTTGCCCTACGTTGCTGGCTGTGCTTGCTTGTGTCCATTCCAACGTTTCTCTTTGTCTATTCCTGGACTTCATCAAAGATGGGTGTACTATGGCGCTTTCAACTGCATCTTGTCCGATCACCACAACCAAATACTCTCTCAAAAAATGGCTCCCTATCTAACTGAGCTTTCTTGCCACTTCATTGATGTTGCTAGCCCGAAAACCACTCCTCGTTGCGCAACTGGCTCGACTAAGCCGGCTTTCCAGGTTCAGTAATGTCGTCTACTCTGTAGCGGGCCTAGTCCAGAATGTACTTGCCGCGTTCGCCTCAGCAGGTCATGGGCTTTGATTTCATCACCGACTGTTGATAAATTCGATGATAGTGGCGGAAATATTTCTTTATATGAGTCTGACAACGTTACCATCCGGGGGGGCGGATACCTCACTCGCAGCTCCACATCTCCAAGTATTGGGTTTGGACAAGAACGTCAAGAATGGTTAAATGCATATGGAAGCTCAACATAGCTTCCGCTTATGATGAGCAGCCAAAGTCTAAGGGACGAAAAGAATTAAAGTCCGTCCCTCGTTTCTAAAATTATTCCTCGAGGCGGGTTCATCGGCGCCAGGTTAACCGGACCATTCGGTACCGAAATATGATAAGGGCGGCCCGCCCTGTAATTTGTTGTCAAGGACGCTCTCATGTAACCCGTGACGTTCGAGGTCGATCACCAATCGATCACACAACCGAGGTCTCAGGAACGAAGTCGTCATGATCGAACGAGATCGGTTAGGAATATGCTTGGGGAATTGCCCCCTTCTGACCGAGATGCCAAAGCGGCCAAAACCTTGGGAAGAAACTTCTAACAAAGGCAGAAAAGGAAAACAAGACGAAACTACCTTGTCCATCAAAACGAGACGGAAATCACACTCTTGCCAAAAAGATCAGGAGACCTTGCCGCAAGGAAGATGGAAGGAGTTAACATTGAGTGCTCTGCTTAAACTGTTCAGCCTAAGCAGGTTACTACTGATGACACGGAAAAGTTGCACAAATGATGTCAATCTGCGAACAAGCAAGGGTTGGTCATGGATACCGCCCTCGCGCGGAGAATCAGAAAAATGCATGATGCCTAGGCCAGCTGTAAATGAATTGGTTACAGGATCAAATGAATGCCTTGGCTGGTGTATGCCAATTTTCTGCGCAGTCTCCCAGGACTAAGTAGAAGACTCGTTACCATGGATGAAGGTCGACAAGGGTCGGGAAGGCGGCCGAACGAGGAAACAAGCAAACTGATACAGACAGGGTCGACGAAATCGAACGATCACCTCCACAAAAAAGCAGATGTGATCTGACAACGTTGTCATTCCGTTTACGGACATCTCTGAATCTTGCCGACCAACGCCGTCACTGAAGCTTGGAATGCTTCCTTTTTTTTTTTACAGGGGCTCTCAAAGCCATTGACATATTTACGCATGGTTCAGCCTGATTAGGGTCTCTGAGGATTAAATGATCCTTCGGAGACTGACCGAAAAAAATCCGTCAAATCGTCCTGACAGCCACCCCACGAGTAAATAATATCCGGACTGAAGCGATCCACCCCGCGCTCTTTCCTTCCGGCTTCCCCACCCGGTTCCTACATTTTCCCAGTGTAATCGTCTGGTATCGATTCTTGCTTCCGTTCCATAATGACCACAGGAATGCTTCATGTAAGGTCGCCGCCGTGTTGTTGTACTCCGCTCTGACTGATTACTTGAAGGACGCAACAATCCAGACGGCGGCTTCAACCTCAGGACCTCGCTTTCGCCCGTATGCCAGCCCAGACCACCATGTAACAAAGGGTCGCTATATCACGAGCAACGATCCGCGAGGGTACATGTACGTCGCCACTGCTGTGAGGCGCTTAACTGCTGCGTACTGACGCCTGCCATAGACCCGTATACGAATATCCTTTGAATGGTCAATGGATTATGATGGACATTGACGACGGGTACATCTTGTGGACGGGTATCTGGAAAGGTGTGCCATTTGAGCCACCCCTCCCAGCGTTAATCGCCTAACCAGCCTTTTTACGCTGTAGCTCTTGGAAACTCAAAAGGTACTACAAATTGGATCGCTAGAGACAACCTTCTTACAGATCATCAGCTGACATCGTTAAAATGATTGATTCGCAACCTGACCTTGCGCCACTTATTCGTCGCGTGCGAGGTGGCTACCTGAAAATCCAGGGAACTTGGATGCCTTATGAGGTGAGCCATTATCAACCTACAGCTGTTGCTACGGCCAACTTACCAACAAGTATGCTTAGGTCGCCCTCAAATTATCTCGTCGGTTCGTCAAAAGTTGCTTTCACCGATCAAATATTTATCAATTTTTTTAAGAGTTGCTTGGGCAATCCGCGATGACTTAATCCCACTATTTGGGTGAGAATCTTGTTGTTGCTCCCGTGCTTGTTAGCTGATCCTTAATTCGTTGTTTTATAGCCCAACCTTTCCCAGCACCTGTTTATCGCCTGACCAACCAGGGTATGGGCAAGTTGTCGCTTCCTCACAAAACCGACGCCGCGCAAGACGCAACACCCAGGCTGGCACCGCAGTGCCGTATGCACCTCGGGATACTCATCCAAATTGGACTGTCGTTACGCCGCCCACAGTGCCTAGCACACCGCACGATGCGTTGCCTCTTCCATCTCTTCCGATTTCAGACTATGCCATGTCTCCTCAATATTCCCCCAACATGCTTCATAGGCACTCCTCTCATACCCACGAAAAGGCGACTAGCCCATCTGCGCCAGTGAATCACCCACATCGCTATGCCCCTTACACGGGGTCGCCGCCAAATCGCTACTCAACTTCAATTAGTAAGGGTGGTCTGTCCCTTGATATCCCCTCGACCCGAGACCATCCGTCCCCGCATATGAACGACAAAAGTTTTAATTTGCCCCCTGTTCATCTTCCTGATCACAATATGGATAATTCTCCCTATGCTCTACCCCCGATATCTGCCTTGGAAGATCTACGAGGCGTCCACACGCAAGATTCGGCCGCCGTTTTGCGCAGGCTCCGTCTCGATGACGAGCATTACCCGAAATCCGGCTGTCCCACCGAGGAGCAATTGTGGGCGAGGCGACACTCGGTGCCAACCCATCCATATGTGTAAGCACAATTTTGCCGCCGCATAATTTTTAAGTTGCCTAATCTGTTTGCGCAGTAAAGGACCTGAGGGTTCATCTCGTTTCCAGCCGTACCATGGTTCGCGATCATACCAAGACCATACGGGCCATCGCGCGTGGTCGCCTTCAGAAAAGTCGGATATTCGCCGCGCAAGAGAGCACTTTATTCCTTCCGACGCAACGCGGGAGTACGACTCAAATTCAGACCCATCGCCTACGACGCCAGCTACTCCGGAATCAATCCTCTCGGCAAAGGGCGCCCGCAGCACATTTTCCCAATCAGAGAAATCGCCGCGGATCATAGAGCAACGAACTTTCTTTCCTCGGCATGCTGGACATACTGACCACTCGACGACATGGTCGTCCGTACGCCGGAATTCGTGCGACGTAGACAACGATACCAACCCTACCCGGCCACACCGGCCTTGGTAATTTATACTTCACTTACTTCTTTTTTTCCATTGCTCCCCTTCGATATTCTGAGCACCTAATAATGCTTATACCCTACTGGTAGGCGATTTAGCACGTTGTATATCCCATTCATTCGCATCGACCCGTGCACTGTGTATTAATGAATACCTCTATTGGATAGTCTAGAATAAAATTATGGACTTAAATTTTACCGCCACAAGTCCATGTTTCAGAAGGCTCCCAGCGGAGGCGACGTCAGAAACCTTTTGAGCATAACACAAGTATGAGAAATGACTTGAGACTCTGAGAGAGGCCTTGGTGTGATAGTAAGCTGAATTTTCATCCCACAAGCCTGAACAGGGCATTTTTTTCTCTATTCCCTTTTCGAAGCGAGAATATATGGGAACTTGCAGCCAAGGATATGTAGCTCATTCGGCCCCGAACGTCCGGGTTTACAACCGAAGATTCGCCTTCGACGCCCACAGGTGTCAAGGATGGGCTTGGATGGGGCAACAGATACCAAAATAGATCTTCCGTGTGTCGTCGACTTGGTGATATATATATGCTTGTATATGGTGATATTGATTTTATATATTGTAGCGCATATGGGCCATCGATAGGGGCGCCCGAAGCGGTTCGCCGGCGAGGTCCATGAAATATCAAAGCCGAGGAGGGTTTCAATACGGGGTCTCGGTAGACCAGTTATCGAAACGCCCGGCTTTGCTTACCAGGAATGTATAGCAGCGCCTGCCAAATGACTGCGGGCAGTTGTTTGGCCAGCTTCAAAAGTAAAAAAAATCACAATGGAGTGTTGCGGAAACTGGTGTATATCGATACCTCCATGACTGTAAAGTATCAGCGTTAGGAATGGAAATGTGGACCCATGGCCTCGTGACGACATGCCTGGGCGTCCAGGTGTTAAGAAGCAGACGGCTGCGATCTTGTAAATAGCTCGCGGTCTGACTAAAAGTCTGTCAACGTCAATTCCACCTGATCCGATACAAAGGGAGCGGCACATTCCATGGTTTGCTTGTACATAAGCATTTACCTCCGACCTCGGTTGGTCTTCTCGACAGTTTCGGGGGTCATGGCTGCTGGTTGCAGGCCACAAGGCCCTGTCAAGTTTCAACTTGCGAGGGCGGTAGACCGCATCAAGAAAAAAGTTTCAGAATAGCTGGGCGAAGCAGGATAACACAGGGCAAGATCCCCCGATTGATTTCAATATGCTAGATGTATAAATGCGAGCAATGGATACAAGGACTTAGATGATTATGATATCATAGGCTGTCAAAATACACAGTTAATGGCGCTGACTTAGCAGAGATAAACATAGACCCACCCAATAGCCGTCATGAGCAGGAAGCCAATGGTTGCGACAATCTATGTCAAATTGTCGCTCACGTTAAATCGACACAGAATCGGGGTGACAGAAACTTACGATCGTCGCAATGATACTTGCTGGAACTCCATTCTTCAAGAAGTCGACATTTGATAAATATAGCTCGCCGAGTTCGTCCTCTTGAGTAGCGCTGAGAGTCGGAGGTCAGAAAGGCTGTGAGGTCAACAATGTTTGAAACATACGCAGTCTGGTTAGGGAATCCAGAAACAGGCATGCCCATCCCCGCCGAACAGATCAAGGCGGTGATAAAAATAAGGAGGTTTTGATGATTTCCCGGAAGCTTTGAACCTACTTCCTTGGCAATGGGGACGAGGAGAACGCTGGCTATCGTGTGACTGATAAACGTTGAGATGACCTAGGGGCACGTCTGATCAGACCTCATAGCCTCTTGGTTTTAGGAAAGAGATTACCAAAACCACGGGCGAGAGAATCAGGACGACATGATATAACGAGTAGCCGTGCACCAGATCCCGGATGAGCATGTCCATAGTTTGTAGCAGGCCACTAGACATGACTCCCTTACCCAAGGCGATACCACCCATAGCAAGGAATACAATCGTCCACATAAATGAATCAAAGTCATCCTGTACCTTAGATTAGAGTCGGATCTGGGGTACGGGAATCGGAACGGCACCTTTTTCAGGACACCCGTGGAGAAAAAAGCTATGATCGGGATGAGGGCAATAACACCCATATCGCCAACGAACGCCTCAATCTGATGTTCGACGCACCACAAGCCGATAGTCAACAAACAGACAAAGGTGACCCAGCACTGCTTGATCGTGAACGCTTCCTTGGTTGGTCGAATAGCCTTGATCTCAATATCACCTTCACCATCCGGCGAGCGAGCAGGCTGATACGACCACAGCAGCAGCCACCAAATGAGGATGATCGATACAGCCGAAACGGGCAGAGCCACAGCAAACCACTTCGCCCAGTCGAGCGATGGGTCCATCGCCTGCAGCGCAATGATATTTTGCGGTGATGATATCGGCGAGCTCTGCCCACCGATGTTTGCGGCTAATGCGATTGCCAACTGTCCGAGGTCCGTTGACATGTCAACTTTCTCATGCGATTGATTGGAGCGAGGGTTGACTTACGATCAGGCACGGTCCGAACGCCGACTTGGGTGGAAGTGTCCGCAAGATGGGCTAGAGAGAGGCACGTTGGTTTGGGTGGACAACAATAATGAATGGAGGTCAGGCGATACCTACCCGTATCAGGGTGAAGCACAGCGTGGGGGCAGCAACATTGCTAGGTAAGGCATGGACGTGAGTAAGAGTGAAGACCTTATGACCGTGAGGAAGAGATATTACCTGATCCACATGCTAGCGAAACACGACACGCCCATGAATGCAAGCAGAACGGTGCTGGGGCGTGTACCGGCCAGTGCGAGAACGCGAGTGATCAGCACTCGGTCGATATTGGTCTTGCTCAGGGCGGATGAAATGGTAAAGCCTCCGATTAGGAGCATGATCGTTGGTGAGAACATGATGGAAAAAACATATCTAAAAAAGGTTGAGAACGAGATCCTTAAGATATGGAGCTGATCATGACGTACTTCGTAGCAGCAGGCGTCGATAACTGAACACCATCTTCGTCGCGGATGACTCTAAGAAGAACTAAAAGCAAAGGAACACACATGGACGTGACAAATAATGGGATGGCCTGGATGAATGTCTAGTCAGCGGAACTCCAGCAAAATGTCACAAAATCCGACCTCCGTAGCCCAAAGAATAGTGCAGAAAACAAGGACCGCAAAGCATCGATTAGCTTCGACGCCTTCCACGGTCTGAATGTTCAAGAGCAGGGTGAAGACAGCGACAGCAACGGCCATAAATATGTGCCTTTTCTTGAGCTTGAACTTGCCAACAGGAGTCGGGATGTCTACCAACGAAGGCTCAGGCTCCTGAATGAGTGTTGCACCAGGTGGTATCGTCGGATCGCCCTCACCCCTCCTCTCGCGACCGATCATCTGCCTCCACACAGTGTCGCGTTCCCAGGCAATGTTCTCGCGTTGATGCAGACGCAGTTGCTCCCTAGCTGTGGATCTGTCCCCCTGGGTAACACATTTGGCGTAGAGCTCGACTAATCGATTGATAGCGTCGTTTAGGTGGTCTTTAGATGCTTGAGTAAATGGTAGCGCAGTCTCGACTGCGTCATGCAGGTACTTGTCTTTGAGCTGCGCAATGTTAGGGGTTTGTTGGTGGACGAAGAGAGACAAAGCAACGTACATCTGAATCAGTGACTTTATCGTACTTTTTCAAGATTTTGCGGAAGCCAGAGTAATTGACCTCGACATAGGACTTGAGTCTAGTGAAGGAGATGTAGGTAGTGGTGATCTTGCGCTTGAAAAGAAGTCGCGTGTCGTAAGCATAATCACTTCTCGCAGTCCAGATGGTACCGTCTTCATGAGCTGAAGAAGTGAAACTATCCTTGAGGGTATTGAAGGTTGTGGTCAACCGGTTGAGGGTCCCCCTTTGGGGCTTTGGGTTTTGAAGAGAGGCGACGCTCTCTTCAATGGGCGCCCCCGTGATGTCCGTCAAACTTTGTCGACGGAGAATTGGAGAGGTGCCGCTGCCACCTGGCGTTGGAAACACATTGCTTATAGCTGCAGAACGTCAGACAGGTACATGACAGATGATAGGCAAATCAAACGCACCACGTCGACGGGTGCGACTTGCTGAGAGGGACTTTCGAAAACGGGATTGCGCCAGCGGAGTGTCGGGGATCGTGGGGGACGCGATGCTATCGTCATCCTCCTCCTCAGTGTCATGGTCCAAATAACGCTCCCCTGCCTCCAAACCCACTTCCTCCTGGTGGGCAACGGCATCCTCCAAGTCCCTGAGCTCGTCGAACAGCTCAGCCTCCTGGTTCTCATAGAACGATACGACCTTTCTCAGCTCCTGGTCCAACAACGGAATGAAAAGACTGTCGGTGTTGGTGACATCCTGCTGGCCTAACAAAGAACTGTATTCGTTCGACTCTATGTCGCGGGTTGGGAGGTGATCGTGGCCGATCTGTTTTTTCTCTATTTGATAGATGCACTTCTTCAAAGCCTCGTAACTGGTAGAGGAGTCGTCAGTAGCCAGCGGGATGTGTTCCAGACAGTACACGCACGCGATATATTCGTCCCACCACTCCGATACGGCGTTGAATTTCAATGAAGAACTATACACGACCATTTCAGCGAGGGTGCAATACGGTAGCCACAAGGGGCGTGCATACCTGAACTTCATGATGAATTTGACGGATACCAGCCGCTGATCTCTTTCAGGCCGGCGCGAGAGAGGTAGGAGGGGAATAGACTCCACTGTCGCAGAATTGTGCTATACTTGTATAAGGACTTCGAGCATCTAGTGCGGATGAAAGAAGAGCCCTCGGTGCAAGGACGGGCACAGGCAGAACTTGTCAAAACGCTGGCTGCCAAGCAAAGTCGGCCGACAACAATTGCCTAAACCGGCCATCGCCCGGGTAATATTCGCTCGCGGAAGCACATCGGTGCATGAGGTCTGCATGAGGTCCTCCTTGTCGTCGTAGAAAAAGTGGTAGAGGACCAAAATGGTATTACTTTGAAATTCTGAATGAAATTGGACGGGGGAACCTCTGCTGAGTCCCATCTCAAGCCTCCGTACAACTCCGAACGACTCCGCACAATGATCTTCGCAATAAGAGTAAGAAACGAGGACCCAGCTGCGCAGAGCTCAGAGGGAAGAATTAGAAGATACATGTAAATTGTGGTATAACGAATGAACGTTTGTGCTGGGAAACTTTAGAAGGATGATCTCAAAGCGTTGACTTGCACGGGCCGGAAGAGGGCGCCTCGAGGAGCAATCTAAGCTTGCCAATACGCCGTTTTGAAGGTACGATACTAATAAGAAATCGACCCCCAAGTGACCCCATGTCCCACCGCCGACGTTCAACCTGGCACCTGGCCTCCGCGCCCTTCGCAAATCCCCTCTTCCCAGGTTGCTGCCAAGGGTGGTACTCTTCGCCAGTCAGATGCTCGGCCTCTAGCACAAGACCGGAGCAAGTAGACTTGGTACGTCCTCCATGTTGAACATTATTGATATCGGAGCTTGATGTGGTCGACTCCAACCGCCTGGAAATATTATTTGACAGAAAACCGTAGCCCCCGATCAAGTTTGTGATATTGTATTTGAAATGGTAAGAACGACCGTGACTTTGCTCTCTCAGATTCAGCTTTTGAAAATTGACGTCCTGGAACCGCACTTCAGGTTCCTCTATTCCGAAACCCGTATCAGTGACGTCAAGACCGCCATTCTCGCTTGACATCGTGGGGTCTGTGGCAAGTATTAGGCAACAATTGCCAAAAGGCGAGCACGCAAAAATAAGTTGTTCAAATGGGCCAGCTTGGAGTGTCCATCGGCGCCAACGATGATTTGCATGAAGTCTAGGACTCGGCGTGAGGGACTACGAAGACATTAGGCTTGGTTGGCGCGTCAATCAGCGCGTTGTTGAGATTCATTTCGGGACTACAACTGGCTTCGCCGGACAGAGGGACCATCTAGAAGCCAAGCAAATATGAGTACTTAGCAGCCTAGGGACGACGAAATAGCCGAGAGATGGTCCTGCGTAAAAAGGTGCTAGATGCCTTCGTCGTTGTCCAGAATCAGGGTGGTCCAAGTTGTCGAATTTTCGCAAGGGAGTTCGGAGCAGCCCCTTCCTGGCTCCTCCTTTTGTCAGATCTGTCTGACTGCCTGTGAATTGAAAATTCAGTACCACATCGTCGATTTCTGAAGAAGGATTTTCGTAAATTTATGGACCCCGGAGAGTATTCAAAGGCGTATTTCTGAACAAGGTGAACACTGTGGTGAACGTTGATGCTAAAAATATGTCGGTAATTATTACTGTGGGAACTTGGTGGGAACTGATCTGAAATGATTCATCTGCCCAAACACTCGCTTCATTTCCAACAACTATACACCATGTCGAGCGTACCAAAGACAGCCCCAACCACAAATCCATCTTCGAGTACGTTTCACCCTTATCACCCAATTATCTCTCTACTAACGCTAACGAACACAGCACCTCTCTCCCCCGAAGCACAAGCAATCAAAGAAGGGTTCGAGCGGATGGGTACGATACACGATCCTCGGGCTGGGATGGGGAGGATTCCAGGGCCTCCAGCTGATTCGGACTCTGATGCACCTCCACCACCCAGGCCGATGGGGATGGGAATGGCCCCAGGACGCGGCGTTGATAAGGACGCCGAGGAGCCACTCTCGCCTGAAGCGCAGGCTATCGCAGATGGGTTTAAGAAGATTTTGGGTGGACAATCCGATCCGCGGATGGGGTACGGAAGGATACCACGACAATCTGAGTCTGAGTAGTGGTGAGTCTTCACATTGTGGAGGCAGGTGTTGTACGATTATACCTATGTGAACTTTACTTGGTACGCTGAAGTAGGAGGAGTTGTTATAGAAAGAAGAACTGCTATATGTTGTACAATATACAAGATGATGGAAAGGTGGTCCACGGTGTTTCGTGAAGTAAGTAGCGTAGAGTCAGGTGGAATCAACATATCGTATCAGAGGCCGTACCTCGCTTGACGTCACAAAGGTATCACTGAGAAGCGAACGAAAAAGAAACGAAAACGAAAATAATGTTCGAAAGGTGCAAGCCGACCAAGTTACACACTCACTGCGCTGGAAGCTTCATCAGTATTACTCAAAACGTGATGGTGACCAAAAGAAACTCACACCACGCCCTCTACATGTCGATAATTTTTGTGCCACGTCGACTTCATAATCCACGTCGGTCTAGCACTCTTCAGAACTTGTAACTGATGCTCTGGCAGGCGAGGGTGCGAATACCCTGCCTGGATCGGACGCCAAGCACCACCTATCTTGCCATTGCCATCGCGCTCCCAGATCCACACTTTGACATTAGATGGTCCTTGCCAATGGAGATACAAATCCTCAGGCTCAAAGGTCCAACACGGGGTATATGAAGGTGGTAAGCGTATGTAAGAGGCACTGGAGGAAGTGAAATATCGGACATGGACGTCTTTGTTGCGGATCTTGGAATAGCGCATAGTGATGGTAAGAACCGAGTATGCATTATATCCTTGTGCCTTGTCGACAGCTGCTGGGGTGACCGGCGTTGAGAACTCGGAGTAGGGTGGACATGAGAGTCTGAATGAGAATACATTAGCAAAAGCACCAGACGGAGGAAAAGAAGGAATCTGACCAGATGTAACCGCGGGATTGGGGTTCTCCAACGTTGACTGCCCATTACAACGAACAATAGGTAGCTTTGGCTCAGGTGCAGAGGGACCCGGAAGGCAAGTGGGTAGGGCCTTCTTGAGTGAAGACTTCCGTTGCTTCTGTAACCGTTGTCAGAACAAGCGAGATCGAAAAGACAACGTGAAAGCTCTTACTGAAGAACGCGGTTCCCAGATATAATCCGAGCTGTCGGTCTCGCTGTCATCGATGTAGTCGTGGTCATCATAATCATCGTCATCGTCATCTTCATCGTGATGATCAAGCAGCTCATCGTCCAAACTTTCAATTGGGCGACGGCGATAAGCTTGGAAGCACACCTTCAGCGTCAGCCGTGGAAGGTGGTGAAAGGGGGGTGACTATACCTGGGCGACGAGCCGGTGTCGTAGGGAGAAGACCGCGGTTTGGAGGGGTCGTTGATGGCTGGGGGCCGTGATCAAGAGGCGGCGGTTTCCAACCCCTTTGGGGTTGCTCGCTGCCTTCCCGAGGCTTCATCAAAGGTTGGGAGCTACGAGCCGGTGGTCCCATAGAAGGTCATGAACTGAGAATCAAAGGTGCAATCACTCGTTGAAATCCAGGATCCCAGGGTCTTAGAGCCTGAGCACTACGATCCATGTGAGGATCCGGGGGAGTCTTAAGCCCAACGGAAATCCCATGTTGAGCAGATGCATTTTGGGTGTTAAGCAATGTCCCTCCGCTCCCCTGCGTTGTGACATGTTGAATACCCTTGAAAGGCAGAATCAGTGTGAAAGGACTTACCAAAGGAACATCCATGTCCGAGTCCGAGATCTCAATAAAGAACTTTCTCAACATTTTGGGTACCGCTGAGGTGTTGCCTTTGATCCTGGAGCGTATGGTGTCCACGATCAAGTAGACTGTCGTGTAGCGTCGGGCGGTCAATGAAGCCTTTGTGACTTTTCGTTACGCCTTCGTCATCGTTGGCAGTCCGGCGGGTTTCAGGGTATAATCTGTCGTAGATATACCGACCCGTAACATAGATGAACGCACAGAAGAGAGAGTTGATGATGAAGATGATGGTGAACAGAAGGATGAAACCTAGGCAAGCTACCGCCGATGGCATGGCGGGAAGGCAATCGTTCTGTAGATAGGAAATGGGTGGTGGAACAGTGGGGAGAGATAGAAAGAACGTACTTTGAAATCATAGCTGTATAAAAGGGAAAACAAGACAAAGAAAGAGATCGTCAAAGGGAGGACGCGATCCTTACGTAAGCCATTCGGGACCCGTCACAGCGACCACCAGCCCAATCGTCAAGTGTTTCGTTTTCCTCATCCTTGCAAGCGTACTATGCGGCTGAGAGTCCAATGTCCCATTCCCCATGATATTAATAGGAGGAAGTGCACGCTTGAGCAATGCAAGTGGCCTACCCAACGGTCGCTGTCTTGGAGGTTAGTACGTGTTCGGTATAATCAGGCTACCCAGTAACTCACCCCCATAGATGGATTTCCTCGAACCAGACGTCGGACCAAACAGCAACACGGAAGGTATCTAGTAACGGCAACGTCGAAGACATGTTTGAGGCGTAATTCTGTGTGAAGTCTATCGGTACCCTGAGAACTAGAAGCACAGGGGGTACATACGTCGAAAAGAGCTAGCATCGTTTCTCTTCGGAAGTCGCGGAAGTGTACGATGACTGTTCTCTCAACAACTTCGTCCTCGTAGTAACTGGAGACGTCCTGTCGGAAAGTCATTGAAAAAATCGGGAGGAAAGGCGAAGCCTGAGGGCCCTTCATTGTCAACCGGAAATGGTAGGTACACTTGAAGTGACATTCTTGACGTCCTCGGTATCAGTAAGCGGTCGACCTTCGGTCGGAGAAATGACGGTCCCGATGCCCTGTTGCATTGTCAGTGAAGGTAGAAAAGATATGAGTACGGAAGTTGATTAACCTTCAGCATGTCTTGACGAACTCGTGCAACTTCACAAGAACCGCAGGGAAGTTCAACATAAAGGGTCCCTTCATCTTTGTTTGATCTGGACAGCTGGAAGGAGCTATCCAAACAAAACGGGAGATGCTCTAGATGACGATGGTAAGGACTCTAGGGAGAAGGAAGAGGAGATTTCGTTAGCTTACGCCGTCATTAAGAAGAAACAACCTCTCCCGCTGATCTCCCGCTGAAAAGCCTGTTGTGCAGGCCAACCACTGCGATGGCAGAAAGCATCTCCTTTTGGTCCTCCGAATTTGCTTGAACTTCCGCCAGTAGACAGTCGACTTTCAAGAAACTGATAGAACCACTCCATGAGGCTCCGCGAACGGTGTGAAGGAACACCATCCTCGTCGTCGGAAGGCCGAAATCGTAGTATAAGTTGTCCCATCCCGCGACATGCAAAATTATCGGAGTGCTTGGTAGTGTTGCAATGGCTAGCTTTTCATCGTTGAGCAGAATCTCATCCAATGCCTAAACATTCATAAGAAGTGAGAGTGCGAGCATGATATAACCTACGCACAGATGAGAAGAGATTTGGACAAAGCCATGGCCCATGGGGTATATAGTTGGCTGGTACGATTGAGAGACTTCGGCGTCATCTAGCGTGGCGAAGACCTGGTCGCCGTGGACCTCTTCTGGCGGTATGGTTTGGGAGATGGCGCCTTGTTTGTTGATAGACTCGAAGGACGCGACGTCGAAGTCAGATATAAAGTGGAATAGAGGCGAACCGCACTATTCACTGAACGAGGTATGGCGTTGTAAGCAAACGTAATGTCAGATAGTAAGTACTTACGACGACGGGGACTATTGGGGCCCGTGTAACGATCTTTGTTGCTGTAGGTGTTGGTCAAGAATACGAGCGCACTGCGTTCAACGTCAACACCTCTTCCTCCCGTCGTGCTATCAGAACTGTATCGTTTCCACCTCTCTCCCTGGAATCGTGGCTCCTCATGAACTTGCGGTCTGGCACTTTTCTAAGCTGAGAGCTCGAGAGGCCAGTACATGCGCTGAATGGAGGAAAGGCGGAGCTACTTGGTCAACTGGAGACGTGCTCACGGTTGATGCATAAGCGGCATTGTCTCGTACATAATGCTCAATGAAGGTGGTCCGATGACCCTTTCCTTCAATCGTCCATCTTGCTAACATTTCAACAGGTTCTGGTTGGAAGCAGCGATGTCTACTCTGCCTGGTCATGATCATACATCCAGCTCCACCCCCTCCTTAGACGGCAAAGGGGGTACAGATTCATCTGCGGAAGCAGGAAAGTCAACGAGAAGAACGGGTCTCAGCTATGGTACGCCCTAATCTGAAAATTTACTGCTGGCTTAAATGGCTAATCTACTCATGCAGTTTATTATCGTCTATACACCAAACTCGGTGCATTCCAATCAATTCACCCCATTTACCACAACGACCATTTAATTGGCCGAATTCCAACGAAATCTTTTCCCCCTCCTCATACCGTGACATCTATCAAGCGATCCCTATGCAAATTTGAGGGCCTTTTGGGGCCCGACAAGGCGCTTGTTTTCGCACCTCTCTCAAGCCCAGCATCCAGAGAGAACTCTGCCCGCATCTCTTTGAACGCTCCTTCTGGGCCAGGCCTGTCTGAACATGATCCGATCGCGCTGGTTGTCGAGTCGGAGAAGCGGACCAAGGAGGTCTCGCAGTCGGAGAGTCAGCGGCCGGAATGCTGTGATAATACTAATATCCACTACGGCAAGTCTTGTGCACATCTCCTGCCCAAATACTGCACTCATCAACTTTGCAGTATACTATCGTGTTTATCTATCAGAGGGCGAAGGGGAAGAAAAGGCAAAGACGTCGTTTGACGAAAGTGACATTTCGTTAGGGCGCATCGACACCCTCTTCATCGCTCCCCCTCTCACTGCTGGGTCTCTGAAAGCACATATCGCAAAAGTTGAAGGCCTGGTCACGCCGGGTCATGCACTGTACAAGGATATGGAACTCTTCCAAGACACGAATAGTGACGCTGCCATGAGCGACAGTGATATCATATCCTTTGAACATGACACTTATCCCGGTAGTGATGAAGGCGACCCCGTAGCCCTTGTCAATGCAGCCGCCAATACAGCAACGGACCAAAAGACTAAGCGTACGCCAGGTAAAGTTCGCGGCGAACATCCATTATACACTGCAGCAACAAACTGTGCTTTTCAAGGTGGACCAGCTCCAAAACTCATGAAACCCGCTCGAATACTTTATACTAATGGTGAGTGACGTTCCTCCGATTATCCGATCCTTATCCTAAAGTGTCCCATAGCACGCTATGAAGTAAACAAGCATACCTGGCTATCAGTAATCCAAGATGAGATCGTTCACACGGATGGAGTTGTCGTCTCCATGATAAACTGGATTGACAATCGTATGTCTTTCCTTTTCTGCTTTATCACAGATCATTGATGCTCTGTCGGAACAGGGTATTATCCAGCATACATGGCGATCAATTCCAAGGGTGAAAAAGGCTGTAAGTTTCCGGTTTGCCCTTTGGTCACTAGCTAGATGTTGATTTTCTTTGGCAGTTGTGGAACAGGGTGAGTGGCCTCCTCTCTCTTTCGGAGTATTTGATAACCACCGTTTGCTAGAATACATTAATTTTATTTGATTGCTGAACATTAGAGAGAGTGTATGCTTTCGGAATGGGATATGTCGGGACTTAGGCCAAGAATGGGTCGATGTGCTGGTACCGTACTAGATCTGTAATGCAAGAAATGAGGAAACTGATTACGAAAACGAAGCAGACATCGCGCAACTGCAATTGCCGACTGTTCAAACTTTGTTGTCTTATCGCCAATACCATTGCCACCATCCTGAAACATAGCGACGTTCCAACCGGCCTCGTTCTAACCGTCCGCATCGTCTTCGCTACCAGGCCGCTGAGTCATACTCACAGAGTTTTGACGCTGAACGTTAAGCGCTAGCGCCAATGCCTTGTGGATGGGCGCATGACAAAGGCGTGCCCGATATCTTTTTCCTCAGATCGTCCGTCTTGCTAATATTTGTACAGGTTCTGGTTGGAAACAGCAATGTCTACTCTGCCTGGCCATGATCATACCTCCAGCTTCACTCCTTCCTTGGACGGCAGAGGGGGTGTAGAATCAGCATCTAAAGATGGAAAGTCAATGAAAAGGACGGGTCCTAACTATGGTGTGCCCTATCCTGAAAGCTTGACTCCCGGTGTCAATGGCCTGATTTACTCATGCAGTATATTATCGTCTATACACCAAACTAGGCGCATTCGAATCAATCCATCCCCTCTACCACAACGACCGTTTCATTGGTCGCATTCCAACGAAGTCTTTTGCCCCTCCTCATACAGTGGCGTCTATCAGGCGGTCCTTGTGCAAACTTGAAGGCCTGTCCGGGCCTGACAAGGCGCTTGTATTCACACCGCTCTCAAGCCCAGCACCGAAAGAAAACTCTGCGCGCCTCTTTTTGTCCGCTCCTTCTGGGCCAGGCTTGTCCGAACAAGATCCGATCGCATTGGTTGTCGAGTCGGAGAGGAGGTCCGAGGAGGTCTCGCAGTCAGAGAAGCTCCCTGAACGCACTGATGATACCGATATCCACTACGGCAAGTCCTGTCGATCTCTCCTACATAAATATTACACTCATCAGCTTTGCAGTGTACTATCGCAAAGACGTCTTTTGACGAGAGTGATATTTCGTTGGGGCGCATCAACACCCTCTTCATCGCTCCCCCTCACACCGGGTCCCTGAAAGCACATATCGCAAAAGTTGAAGGCCTTGTTACGCCGGGTCACGCACACTACAAAGATATGGAACTCTTCCAAGACACGAATAGTGATGCTGGCATGAACGACACTGATGTCATGTCCTTCCAAGGCGACGCTTATCCGGGTAGCGCTGAAGGCGATCATGTAGCCCTTGTCAATGCAACCGCCAACAGAGCAGCAGACCAAAAGGCTAAACCTACACCAGGTAATGTTCTCGGTGAATATCCACTAGACACTGCGGCAACAAACCGCGCCTTTTCAGATGAACCAGATTCCAAATTCACGAAACGCGCTCGGGCAAAGGGTGTTCACTGTGAGTAACAGTTCCTGAGATAATCGAATTCTCATCGTAGAGTATCCACTGCAGCAGTGAACCCACCTGGCTATCAATGAACAATGATGAAATCGTTCACACGGATGGAGTTATCGTCTCTATCAGGCGTATTTCTTTCCTTTTCTACTTTGGCACCAGTTTATTGACGCTTTGTCGGAACAGGGTGGCCAGGATACATGGCGATTAATTCCAAGGGTGAAAAAGGCTGTGAGTCTCCAATTTCAGACCTTTGGGTTACTAAGTGGTTATTGATTTTCTTGGCAGTTGTGTACAAGGGTGAGTAGTAGTCTCCTCCCTCTGTCGGAGTATTTGATATCCACCGTTCATTCATAGACTTTATTGCTTTTGATTGATTGGTGAACGTCGGAGAGAGTGTACGCTTTCGCAATGGGATATGTCAGGAATTAGGCTCAGAAGGGATTGATGTACCAGTACCCTAGATCTGTCAATATGTAGCACAAGAAACGAGGAACTGATCACGGAAAAATCGCAACTTGCAGTTGCCGATTGTTGAAGCTTTCAAACGTCCAGTCCTGCTCACATATTCAAGCGATACATGAGGTATAAGTAACTATATGATAATATTGGAGATACACACGAACAAAATCGAAAACTCTCGCAAAGGCGCGCGTTCATTTACTTCTTCAATTCCTCATCGGCATAAAGAGATCATAAAAAGTCGTAAAGATCATTGAAGTCATAAACCTAGAAAAAGTATGTCCCCCCGACGAGGCCCAAAATCGACCATTCAGGCACCAAGCATCAGCACTACCTCCTGCCCCACCTCGCCAACCAACTACAAATCCCAACCCCAGTCAACCTCCTCACAAGCGCCTTCAACACAACGGCACACACGCCAATGCCCACGAGCACGAGTTAACTCCCCCGTCCACCTGTTGAGAGGTATAGATCGCGTGGGGCTTCCTGGCAGTCGCGTCGAGGTCTTGTTTGAGGGGGGATTGAGGAAGAGGCGGTTGTAGTGGAAAAATTCGGGTTGAAGGAGGAACGTGTGTTAGAGGAGGGAGGGCAAGAACAAAAGCGAAACGAGGACGTCTTGTCGCCAACACACGAAAGACCACAGACCGAAAAGAGTGATGGGCCATGGATTCAAACCAAGTGCCAAAGTGGACGCGTTGAGGCTACCAAGTTGAGCAAAATGCATTTACATTTCTTCTTCTTCATTCGCCTTCCCGAGAATGCCCTGCTTGAAAAGATCGACAAGAAAGGCGGAGGACCCTCGTCATTCAATGTTAACCGGAAATGTTAAGTACATTCGAAGTGGATATTCTTGACGCCCTCGATGTCAATGGGCGATCAACATTCGGTTGGGGAAACGACATTGTCAGTGGAGGGGGGAAAGATTCGAGTACGGAAGTTGGTCTGGACAAACTTGCGTAACTTTACGCTGCGAGGTTCAACATAAAGGGTCCCATCATCTTTGGTCTGGGCAGCTGGTGGGAGGAGCCTTATCCAAAAAAACGTGGGAAAGGCTCTAGACGATGCTGGTAAGGGCTCTAGGGAGAAGAACGAGGAGATATCGCGTGCTTACGTCGTCATCGAGGAGAAACAACCCCTCAAGCTGATTGGGCTGGAGGCTAAGTGAGAATCCTGTTGCACCGGCCAATGGCTTCGATGGGAGAAATCATCTCCAAGTTTATCGCAGGATTCATCTGGAATGGCGCCGATAAGGTTACGGCGATAAACAAGAGTTGGCTGGCATGAAACACACCGCGAGTTGCAAGGTAACCAAAGTACTCGTCGAACCGCCGCTCTTTGCCCTTCCCCAATGATCCATATGAGGCGAAACATCGGGCACGAGAGTATCGGATTCAGGCCTTTCATAAAACCTGAGGCTCCACGAACAGTGAAGTTTCAAGCAACGCCATCTTCGCACAACAAGAAGACCACGCCGAAATCGTAGTATAGGCTATTCAATCCTGCAATATGCTGAATTATCGGAGTACTTGGTAGTGTTGCAGCGCGAGGTTTTTCATCGTTGAGCTGACTCGGAGTCTCATCCAGTGCCTAAACACTCGTAAGGCTGAGAGTGCGGGCATGATGAAAGATACGCACATAGGGTCCTTGAAGAGCGGAGAACATTTCATTGCAAAGGGATGGATAAGGAGAAATTCGAATATATATAGTTCAAGTTGGGAAACTTCGCCGTCATGACGTGGCGAAGACCTAAGTATTCGCCGTGGACCTCTTTAGGCGGTATGATTTGAGAGACGGCGCCTTGTTTATTGGTAGACTGGAAGGACGTGAGGTCGAAGTTAGATGTAAAGCGGAAGAGAGGGGAACCGAGATCACAAGAGTTCGTCCTTTCAACCCTTGTTCAACGTTCAAACGTTCACGCTTGGTTCACGCGCACGTTCAACCTTGTACTTTCTCCACTTCCAACCCTCCTCAATAGCCACTCTCTTCCTCCCAGTGCACCGTCAGAACTGTATCGTCAGGGTTTATTGTCTTCTCACATATAATTGTGGATTCTCATGGACTTGCGCTCCAGCACTCAGTTTCCACCCGGGAAATTGGGAGCTTGAAAGGCCAGTGCGCGCGCTGGATGGAGTAAAGGCGGAGCTACTCGTTCAACTTTCGGACGTCCTACTTGTTCTGGCAACGAGGTGACAGCATAAGCGCCTATAAGCGCCAATGCCTCATGGATGATGATCGATGAAGGCATGTAACTCTTTCCTACACTCGTCCATCTTGCTGACGTTTCAATAGGTGCTGGTTGGAAGCAGCTATGTCTAGTACTCTGCCTGGTCATGACCATACGTCCAGTTTCACTCCCTCCTTAGACGGCAGAGGCGATGCAGATTTAGCATCTAAAGATGGAAAGCCAACGAAAAGGACGGGTCCTAACTACGGTGCGCCCTATATCCCGGAAGCCTCTCCACTCCTGGTTTCAATAGCTTAATTTACTCATGCAGTGTACTACCGTCTATACACCAAACTAGGCGCATTCGAATCAAATCGCCCCCTCTACCACAACGACCGTTTCATTGGCCGCATTCTAACGAAGTCTTTTGCCCCTCCTCATACGGTAGCATCTATCAGGCGCTCCCTATGCAAATTTGAGGGCCTCTCCGAGCCCGACAAGGCGCTCGTCTTCACACCACTCTCAAGCCCAGCACCGATGGAAAACTCTGCGCGCCTCTCTCTTTTTGCTCCTTCTGGGCCAGGCCTGTCTGAACAAGATCCGATCGCGATAGTTGTCGAGTCGGAGAAGAGGACCAAGAACATTACGCTGTCAGAGAAGCTCCCGGAACGCTCTGATGATACTGATATCCACTACGGTACGTCTTGACGACGTCTCCTATCTAAATAATGCGCTTATTAGCTTTGCAGTGTACTATCGCCTTTACTCATCAGAAGGAGATGGAGACGAAAAGGCAAAGACGTCCTTTGACGAAAGCGATATTTCGTTAGGGCGCATCAACACCCTCTCCATCGCTCCCCCTCACACCGCTGGGTCTTTGAAAGCACGCATTGCAAAAGTTGAAGGCCTTGTCACGCCGGGTCATGCAGTCTCCAAGGATATGGAACTCTTCCAAGACACAGATAGTGATGCTGCCATGACTGATGCTGATGTCATATCATTCCAAGGTGACACTTATCCTGGTAGCGATGAAGGCGATCCCGTAGCCCTTGTCAATGCAACCACCAATACAGCTGCAGACCAAAAGCCTAAGCCTACACCGAAGCCTACACCAGCTGCAGACGAAAAGCCTAAGCCTACACCAGGTAAAGTTCTCGGCACATATCCACTAGACACTGCGGCAACAAACCGTGCTTTTTCAGATGGACCAGATTCAAAATTCACGAAACGCGCTCGGTTAACTGGTACTTACGGTGAGTAACAGTTCCTGAGATAGTTCAATTTTCATCCTATAGTATCCCACCGCAGACTTCAAACCAACCGATCCCACCTGGTTATCAATAAACAAAGATGAGATCGTATACACAGATGGAGTTATCCTCACTGTGATGTACTCTGGTACCGGCCGTATTTCTTTCCTTTTCTACTTCGTCACCAATTTGTTGACACTTGTCGTGACAGTGTTGAATCCAGGATATATGATGATTAATTCCAAGGGTGAAAAAGGCTGTGAGTCTCCAGTTTGCCTTTGGGTCACTAGGTTGTTGTTGATTTCCTTTGGCAGTTGTGCATCCAAGTCAGTGGTCTCCTCCCTCTGTTGGAGTATTTGATATCCACTGTTTTGCTAGATAATGTTGCTTTTTTCTGATTGGAGCATTGGAGAGAGTGTATGCCTTCGGAATGGGATATGTCAGGACTATGGCTCAAGAGGGATTAATGTACTGGCACTGCGGATCTGTCAATATGTACCACCAGAAACGAGGACTCACTGATCATGAAAAACGAGCCAGACATCGCAACTTGCAATGCCGACGGTTGACGCTTTCAAAAGTTCAGTCCTGCTCAAATACTCAAGCGATACAGTAACTATATCAGATAATACGAACAAAACCGCATACACACACGTTCATTATTCAATTTCTCGTCAGCGTCAGATCGTAAAAAAGTCGTAAAGATCATAAAAGTCATAAACCTAACCAACGTTACCTCCTGCTCCTCCACATCCCAACCCCAGTCAACCTCCTCACAAGCACCTTCAACACAACAGCACACACGCCAATACCCACGAGCACGAGGTAACTCCCCCGTCCACCTGTTGATAGGTACAAATCGCGTCGGGCTTCCCAGTCGCGTCGGGGTCTGCTTTGAGGGGTGGTGGTGGTGGAAGAATTTGGGTTGGAGGAGGAGGAGGAAGAACTTGGGTTAGAGAGGAACGAAGACGTCTTGTTGCCCAATACACGAAAAGACGACGGAACGAAGAAGAGTGATGGGCCATGAACTCGAACCAACTGCCAACGTGGACGCGTTGAGAGCACCAAATTGAGGATCACGCATTTCCTCGAGCTCTTGAACTTGTTTAGAACGTTCTTCAAGCTCATATCTCTCTCTGATCAAGCGCCCGTTCTCGCTCATCAACCGCTTGCTCAAGTTCCACGCCTCTCTCGTCCCTCCCGCTCCCTCTGCTCAACTGCATTCTCCCTCTCCTCCACCTCCCGCTCCCTCGTTTCAACACTCACAACCCGCCAAGAAGCGCTAGACCGACGTGAGCTCGGACTGGCGGCTAGACAGGAGAGGGGATGGATGAGAAGGTTAGGGAGGTGCAGAGGGGTGTTGAGTATCGTGAGGATGCTGTGGGGCGACGTGAGGAGGCGGTTGCAAGGAGGTCGTGTTCTGTCGTGTCTTGTTCTGTTGTGTGGGAGTGCGGGCCCAGATCCGGAGCAGAAGCATCCCCAAACGCTAACATTGATGTTGCTCGGGGTGGGTCAAGATCGAACACATTCCACAAGTCCGGTTTCCTCTCCTCCCGGGTAAGGCAGAAGACGAGCTTGATGGGGCAGTTTGATCGTTTCTTCTCATTCCGTCCGTGTGTCAGACTCTTCCCTCGTATTGATACTAAGACCAGCCCAGGGCTAGGAGCAGAAAACGAGAACAGATCATGTACTGCCCCCCGCGATGGAAGAGTGAACTGAGTCTTGTTGGGTGAATGTGAATAGGACGGGGAATGTTATAGTCGGAGAATAAGACGTGGAATCTCGCTAGTTCTTATTCGGTGAAGTTGACCTCCGTTCTCCTAATCGTCGTTGTCGTCCTCTGAGCGCGAGGATTGTTCGAGGGACACTATCATGCCTTTCACTGTCCCGTTTACATTGAAAGTGGAATCAAAGCTGGTACCGCATCAACGCTAAGAGAGTTGAAGGGGAAATCGTCATAGTGGAGAGAATGAATGGGGAAGCTATGACCCGACTCGAGCCCGGCGTCGTAGGATGTTTTGGTGCAGAGAGCGGGAGGCGGAGAGGGGGTGGGTTTGGTGAGTTGTTGATAGTTAGGACCTTTATATCCAATACAATTATTAGCACTAGGTAGAAACGAAACCAAGGACAAGAAGAACACGTACCCATCCAAATTCTCAAAAACGTCTTCCGCGTTAACCTGTTTTTCCGGACGACTGCAGTGATCAATTGGTTCTGAACGTGCTGAGCCCCAGTGTGGAGTAGAGTAGGCGGATATGTGTGTTGTGGATCTTCTGTTAACTTGAGGGTGAATATGGTAAGGATGGGTATCAGCGCTAGACTCGAACCAGTCTCTAAGGGGTTCAATTCACTATGTTGAGTACTAGGGGAGGGACGGAGAGGACTTTGATGGACGAGTCCGGATTTGATCAGAGTAAGGCGGGTAATTGAACCCATAGAGACTGGTAGGGATTAACCGTAAGGTAACCGACAAGTTTTGAAACTCCGATTATCGAGTATAAAAGGAAATTAAGGAGCACGTGTCTTTGCTGATGGCCAAGACGCGTCGCGTGTATCAACTCGCAAAATACAGCTCTTGAGAGTATGGGCCCTCAAAAACGAACGCGATCTGACAAATTCTCAGTTAGAATAATAGTAGCTTGTATTTAACTTATTCAAAATCAGCAGGTGTAATAACAGTGAAAGGAAACTGTAGTCGGGCATTGTACTCCTCCCTCTGCTGGTCTTGTTCTCCATCAAAATCAGCTGGTGTGATATTAGTGAAAGGCAATCGCAATGCAGCATTGTACCGCTCCCTCTCCTTCCCCTCCTCGAGATCACCAAGCTTTTCATAAATTGATGAGAGAGCTCCCAGCAGCAGAATTCCCCATTTAGTCGCTTGGCCGGTCATCGTGTCATGTCCAATAGCCCAATGAACCTGCCTTCGTAGCTCTGCGTGAGTGTTCAATCGCTCACCACATGTCGCCAACTTCTCGATGATATCGTTTCCCAATAGCACGCGCCCAGACATTGTGGTCCCAACTCCATAATATTCCTCGACCAGATCATTGTCCGCCCAATCCATTAACGCCTCACGGATGACATTTTCCTGGTCTTTTCCGATAGTCTTTTTCTTCCCGCGCTTGAGGCCTGGTGGTTTCACGACGTCCACATCTTCTACGGGAAACAATCGGGGTTCACAATTGTCACAGCAACGCGTTCCCATGATGGGTTGGTACGCTGTGTTGGCGGGATAGATAAGTTGCACTTTGTAGAGTTAGTTATGTGAATCTTCGGTTTAAAATCCCACTTACATTTTTTACTGTTCTCAAAAAATGAGTCCCACACAACCCGACGACAGGACTTAGTGCCGACGAACTTCGAAAGTGCATTCGCCTCATGAACGTCTGTATCTGTAGACGCTTTGCCCTTTCTTTTCATTTTTTGGCTTAACGCCGCACCTGCTGCCGCGTTGTCTCCCTCACCCTCTGACGCCGATTCATCAGCGGCAATTCGGACACCTTCAGGACTGACTTGTTCCTCCATGCCTTGGACCTCCGCCATAAGATCTTCTTCATTGAGGTTTGTTGCTTCTGCTTCCTGCCCAGACACCGCGACAGTTCCACTAACCTCCTGTGCAGTGACGCCGTCCTTCATTACACTTGGAGACACGATCAAAATCCCTTCTCCGAGCTTCTTTAGATCTCGCCCTGCTCGCCCTGCACGTTGAACAAGGGCACAGAACGATGGCGGAAGGCCCCACAAAACCACGCGCGCAATATTACGCATGTCACATCCCTGCCAGTGAAAAATTCAAAAAACAATTTCTATAATCATTGAAAGGGAACATACCATGCCGACGGCATCAGTAAAAAATAAGATGCGCATTTCTCCCTTCTCGAGTAATGACTCCAGCTCACGTTTTCGTTTCTCGCCGACATAAGCATGATAAAAAGCGATACAATCGGGATCGATACCCTGCTCGATAGCCCAGTCCCTGGCCCGATCTGCAGCGTCCTCGGTGGTCGTTCGCTGATTACAATACACGAGGGTTATCGGAATGTCCCCGGGTTTCTTTGCGTCTGGAGGGATTAAAAAGCGTATGTCGCCCTTAGTTTCTTCTGAATGCTTCATCGTTCGGACGGATACTGCCACATTAGGTCGTGCATTGGTTAATCGCACCATTTTCTTCTCGCTACCAAGCTGCAATTTGTGCCGTACGTCATTGAGAACATGACTGGGAAGTGTCGCTGATGCCACAACAAACGGGACATTTTTAGGAAACCGACCACGAAGCACACCAAGGCTAGCGTAGTCTGAACGAAAGCTTCCGCCCCACAAACTGATACAATGCGCTTCATCGATGCAGACAGCGCGAAGTGCAGTAGCAAATCGGTCCTTTGACAAAACGGCGGTCCGAAAGTCTGAGGAAATCACAATTTCAGGTGAAACGATGACCTGGCGAAATTTCCCAGCGGCGATATCCTTTAACAGTCAGTCACTTCGTTCACAAATGAAAAATCTCACTCTCACTGCATATAGTTTATCAGATCCCATGCGAGACAATGTCTCCTTGCATACGGCAACTGTAGCAATACCTGCTGTCTCTGCCTTGATATTTGTAAAGATCACAGCAAAAGGTGAGCAGAAATACGGTGACTTATCAATCTCTCAAAACTTACCTGGTTTATCATAAGTGCAGTGAGAGGCGAGATGGTGAGGACAATGCTATCCTCATCAAGCACCAATGGTAAGGAGAAGCACAGTGTTTTCCCACTTCCAGTCCCCACGTCGACGACAACATCCTGGCCGCACAGTATTGCTTGAGTGGCATCTAATTGCCATGAAAATGGCTTTTTATGCCAAATTTCGTAAGCTCTTGCAGCAAGTCGGTTTCTGGGCACTTCCTCCGGCTTATACTTTCGAACTTTCGAAAGGAGGGGCATGGTGAGTGGTCAGTTACGGACACCAGCGTCATTCAGGCTGCAGGTGCATGTCCCGGATCATGGATCAAATATATTCACTACTAATTTCAAATAGACATATAAATACAAGTCATTTGCATGTACCCAAGTTTGTTTCCGTAAGGTTTCGAGTATCAACGGCTTCATGAACGCGTTGCAAGAACTTAAGTCGAGGATCTGTTAAGGTGGGTTGCCTTATTGAGACGATGATCGGACTTCGAAATTTTGTCGGTTGCATCACGATCAATCCCTTCCAGACGTTATGGTGAGTAACACGATCCCAATAACGGCTGGTTTGACGGCCGTCTGTGGACAAAACTCGCTTTTTTTTTCTACCTACATACTTTTCATGAAATAAAGCTGGCAATTGTCAAAGATTGTCAAAGATAGCCAAAGATTGTTGAAGATTGTCAAAGATTGTTCCATTACAGAAACATGTGAAGGAAGAAAGCCAAATTTTGCGAACAATCTTCAACAATCTTGCGGAATCTTCAACAATCTTTCAGTTACAGTTAGGCTTTGGTTCTATTTACAACCTGAGATCTTTGGCAATCTTGCATTTTGTAGGTCTGTACGTTTGGTACACGAGCAAAATTGAGACTGAATAATCTTGGAAAATCCCCCATAATCTTCCAGATTCTCAGCTTTCCCTCAATCCCAGAATTGAGGGATCTTCAACAATCTTCAACAATTGTTAGGAACCACCAAGTTGATCATGGATCTGGTGAGGGCATCTCAGCACTGTGACCGCTGCCGCTGGTAAGCAGTGGTAAGCGTCATAAGGGAGATGATGTCATGTTTCCCACCTTCGAGGACCAAAATCCGGTCCATTCGGTGTCCGAATGGACCGGATTTTGGTCCTCGAAGGTGGGAAAATACTATATCACCATTGTTTCGAAGTGAGTTTTCATCTGTTTCGCCTGTTGTTGGGCTTAGAGTAAACACCCAGTATGAGGGAATCGCCACCTCCATTTTCGAAAGACCACGTTTTGTTGTTCTTCCTGGATGTTAATTTTTATGCCTGAGTGGGGAACATTTCACTTAGCAGTGAGTTTTCATCTGTTTCGCCTGTTCTTGGGCTTAAAAGAAACGCTCAGTACGAAAGAATCACCGTCTTCATTTGCGAAAGGCCGCGTTTTGTCGTTCTGGCTGTATGTTAAATTTTTATGCCCAGGGGGAGCATTTCACTTAGCAGTGAGTTTTCATCTGTTTCACCTGTTCTTGGGCGTAAAAGAAACGCACAGTACGAAAGAATCACCATCTCCATTTGCGAAAGACCGCGTTTTGTCGTTCTGGCTGTATGTCAAATTTCTATGCCCAGGGGGAGCATTTCACTTAGCAGTGAGTTTTTATTCGTTTCACCTGTTCTTGGGCTTAAAAGAAACGCCCAGTGCGAACAAATCACCATCTCCATTTGCGAAAGACCGCGTTTTGTCGTTCTGGCTGTAGGTCAAATTTCTATGCCCAGGGGGTGCAGTTTCACTTAGCGACACAGTTTTTATTCATTTCCCTGTTCTTGGGCTTAAAAGAAACACCCAGTGCGAACGAATCACCATCTCTATTTTCGAAAGACCACATTTTGTCGTTCTGGCTATATGTCAAATTTTTATGCCCAGGGGGAGCATTTCACTTAGGAGTGAGTTTATATCTGTTTCATCTGTTCTTGGGCTTAAAAGAAATGCCCAGTATGAATGAATCACCATCTCCATTTGCAAAAAACTGTGTTTTGTCATTCTGGCTGTATGCTCTGTTGACCCTTGAGGATCACTGGGACATTGTCATCAATCTATCCCTAATGTCTATGATCTTGACTATTGCAGACTATTTTTAGATGTTTGAAACCCATTTTCCTTTTTATGTTTGACTTGATATTGACATGCATTGGACAGGCTTAAATCAAGCCAAATCCAAACCACATGGCAGAGCTCCAGTCAATACAAAAAGGGACGGAGGGATGGTTGAAGTGGAACACAACATCTTTTATGCTGAATTGATGACAAGGTTGATTTACTGACTCAGCCAAGGCAAGGTTGAGCACAGCGGTTATCAGGGAAGTACTGGCCTCTATGGCATCACATCATTGCTATGAGTTCTAGGTTTGGGAGCCATGTGGTTGTGAGCAAGGTATCCCTTCTTGCAGTGTTTTTGAGAGACTGATTGAGAGTGTGCTCTCAATCGAGACATCCACAGTAAACAGCAACTCATTCACCATGCACAGAGTCATCAAGGCCAAGTTGGATGCTAGTGTGGGTTAAGGCTGGCCAACCTTACTGGGACACTTGCAAAGGCAGGAATATATTGAGTGAAAGGTGGGATGGAACTAGCCTGGATCCAAGGTGTTAAGAGAGGTCGACCATCATAAGTGGGGTTGACCCTCTTGGTTCTGCAGCATTGCAAAGACCACTCAAGCCCTCTGGTGATAAGTATGAAATGAATCTTGGAGCACAGAAGACTGGTTGCCAAAAAGAGACAGATGTCTGACCACCCCAGTGGTACACCGTTGTTTCAACAGACTTCACAAAAATTGGTATGGACAAGAATCCAGAAACTTGGTGTTTTTGGTATCCAACATTTTGCACAACTTTCAGGGGTCCTCTGTCATGCTCAGTAAATAGCGAAGTCAGACATTAGTCACAAGAAAGTCACCAATTAGAGGGTGTTTGACTAAATGTCATTTTTTTTAAGCATTTCTGACTATGCTCGTAGTACAATAGTCATACATTAGTCCTACAGTCAGTCATGTAGTAGTCAAATAATAGTCATACATCAGTCATTAATGCTTGGGCCCAATTCAGGATAGGAAATAGGCTGAATCAAATTATATTTGACTACTTTAAAGGATACATATAGTAGGCCTAGAACCTGAGTATAGTATGAGGGGGGGGAATACATGTTGAGTCCATTCAAATGCTCCAAGGACACTGTTGAGCAACCCATGACCAGATCCAACATCCATCAAATCCTCTGCATCTGAGTCTGAGTCGTTGCCATTCCCATTTGCATGGGAAATGGGGAGGGAAGAGCAGGTGTTGATGATTGTGCCACCTGGATTTGAGTGGGAGGCGTTGTCGGGTTAGGAGCTGTGACTGCCACATTTTGGTGGTGGTGATGGTGGGACCTGCAGCCAAAGAGTGTCATCAGTGTTGTCAGTAAACATTAAACCTGATGCCAACTTAACTCTTTGTTGAGTCGCTGTCACATTTTTGTGTAACGTATGGAAGTCAAAAGTTGTGTTTGACAGAGGGAGCTTGCGATGGTGGTATCCTCGAGTGCTTGTTTTGTGTGTCAGATACATCTGAAAAAGAGCAGAATCTGTCAATGAGGGTGTCCGTGGGTATAGCTGGTTGAGTGTTGAGGAAGAGTATGTGGGGCTGTCATCAAAGTGACAAACAAGTTTAAGTTCAAGCTCAAGACGAACTTTTCAATGAAGCAATCATGTGACTTTCAAGTTTGTGGAAGTCCAACTTAGCACCGAAGTAATTTGTAGACAAAAATTCTTGGCATAGCCATGGGTAGAGAAAGTATGACAATGTTGATACTAATATAGGACTAAACTTACCTCCCATTTGTTGCCAAGGGAAGTTTGAGGGAAGGGTGGCATGAATATTGCAGATGTGTGACAGACATCTGACAGACCTCTGACTTTGTGTGATTTTGCTTGACTTTGCTTTTTACTGAGTGTCATGGCTCAAAATGGCCTTGAAGTCATGGGAACGACAACACCTCCCTGATCATGGATATGCTGATGCTGGTCCTGGTACTGGGCAGGCACCAAGTTGAAGTTATTCAACAATCATTGACAAGATCTGGAGAGAGAATATATCAAATGTAGAAATCTGTCAAATAAAATGTCAAAGATTGTTGAAGATCATTTGTTATTCCTTTACAGATGCGAGTTGCAAAGAAAGTAAAAAAAGCCAGAGAAAGTCAGAAAAAGTCAGAGAAAGTTAGAGAAAGTCAAAAAAGTAAGAGAAAGCAAAGATTGTTGACATTTGTCAATTTTATGCAAGAAAGTGGAAGAAACTTGGACATTGTTGAAGTTGAAAGATAGTTATAGATTGTCAACAATCGTTACAAAAAAAAAACGTAACTACATTGACAATTGTTCAAAATCATTGAAAATCTTTGACAAAAGCTGAAGATTGTCAAAGATTGTTGACTATCATTGACTTTTGTCAACAATATTCCTTGAAAATTGGGTTCCTCTAAAAAAAAAACAGTTTTGTCCACAGACGGCCTTCATACGGCTGGTGTCGAGACTATATCAGCGCAGTGTTTTGTTTTTCGACGGATGCGCAAGATGCCTGTGTCGGTGGATGTTGTTTTATGGCGTAGGAGTCTGCGTTTGATGAGGGTTTGAATTCATTGAAGTGACGATGGAAGTAGAATCCTTTGTCAATGAGCTGCAATGCGGTGGTTGTGAACCAGATGTCAACGCCATGGCTTGACTTGCGATTCGTTTGAACCTCCGCGCCATGACGTCAACAAATCCCTGGATGGAGTGTGCAGGCACGTTGAATGGCCATACGTTTTTTGGGCATCGGTTGGCTGAAATTCTTTTACGAACACGCTGTTTATTGCAAGCGCAATTGGCATTGACAGGTCCAAGTAAGTAAGTATTCGGGAACTTCAGGCTGTCACTGGTAATTTATTCCTCACAGCTTCCTCCGAAATAGCCACTCTATTCCTCTCATCGCACAGCCAGAGGTGTATCCTTTCCACTTCACTCCCTGGTGTTTGTTGACCCACATCATGAACTTGCGCCTCTCGGAAGTTCTTCATACTTTTTTAGGCACTGGGGATATCAAGAGTTCGAGAGGCCGGTGCATGCGCTGGATGGAGGGAAGGCGGAGCGATTCCTTCAACTTGAGAACACCCTACGTGCTCTGGCACGGAGGTGACGGTCGATGCATAAGCGCCAATCAAGGCGCCAATGCCTCGTGGATGGGCGCATGATGAAGGTGTCTCCGATAAGTGTTTCCTTCACTCGCATCTTGCTAATATGGCGGCCAGGTCCTGGTTGAAGACGGCGATGTCTACTCTGCCTGGTCGTGATCATACGTCTTTAGACGGCAAAGGGGGTACAGAATCAGCATTGAAAAAGACAGATGCCACTAGCTATGGTGCGCCGCTATCCCGAAAACTCTACTGCTGGCCTCATCTACTCATGCAGTATATTACCGTCTATACACCAAACTCGGTGCATTCGAATCGATTCACCCCCTCTACCACAACGACCGTTTCATTGGCCGCATTCCAACGAAATCCTTTGCCCCTCCTCATACCATGGCGTCTATCAAGCTGTCGCTATGCGGACTTGAGGACCTTTCGGAGCCCGACAAGGCGCTTCTCTTCACATCGCTCTCAAGCCCAGCACCCAAAGAAGACTCTGCCCGCCTCTCTTTGAGCGCTCCTTCTGCCCCAGGCATGTCCGAACACGATCCGATCGCGTTGGTAGTCAACTCAGAGGAGAGGACCAAGGAGGTCTCGCAACCAAAGAAACTGCCAGCACGCTCTGATGATACCAAAATCCATCACGGTAACTTGTCTTGTCGACGCCTCTTACTCCTGTAGTGCACTCATCATCAGCTTTACAGTATACTATCGCGTTTACTTATCAGGGGGAAAAGGAGATCAAAAGGCAAAGACGTGCTTTGACGAACGTGACATTTCGTTGGGGCGCATCAACACCCTCTTCATCGCGCCCCCTCACACCGCTGGGTCTTTGAAACTGTGCATCGAAAACGTTGAAGGCCTCGTTACGCCGGGTCATGCACTCTACAAGGATATGGAACTCTTCAAAGACACGGATAGTGACACTGCCATGAACGACACCGATGTCATATCCTTTCAAGGTGACACTTATCCGGCGGGCAGCGATCAAGGCAATCCCGTAGCCCTTGTCAATGCAACCACCAATACAGCTGCAGACCAAGATGAAGGCGATCACGTAGCCCCTGTCAATGCAACCACCAATAGAGCAACGGACCAAAAGGCTAAACCTACACCAGGTAAAGTTCTCAGTGAATATCCACTAGACACTGCGCCAACAAACCGTTTTTTCAATCAGATGGACCAGATTCAAAATTCACGAGACGCGCTCGGTTTATTGTCCGTGAGTAACAGTTTCTGAGATACTCTGATTCTCATCCTATAGTATCCCACTGCAGCTGTGACAAAATATGATCTCACCTGGCCATCAATACGGGAAAATGAGACTGTTTACACGGATGGGGTTCTCGTCTCTGAGTCCAGGTGGTACAATCCTACCAGTATTTCTTTCCTTTCTGCTTCGTCACCAGTTTGTTGACGATTTGTCGTGACAGTGTCTTCTCCAGGATACATGGTGATTAATTCCAAGGGTAAAAAAAGCTGTAAGTCTCCAATTTGCCTTTGGGTCATCAGTGGATGTTGATTTTCTTTGGCAGTTGTGCGTCAGCGTGAGTGGTCTCCTCCCTCTGTCGGAGTATTTGATATCCATCGTTTGCCAGATGATATTGAATTTATCTGATTGGTGAACATCGGAGAGGGTGTATGCTTTTGGAATGGGATATGTCAGGATTTAGGCTTGGCAGAAGGGGTCGATGTACCGGTCCCGTAGATTTGTTAACATTTAACACAAGAAACGAGGACTCACTGATTATGGAAAACGAACCAGACATCGCAACCTGCAATACCGACGGTTGAAGCTTTCAAACATTCAGCGCTGTTCAAAGATTTAAACGATACATACATAAGGTATAAGTAGATATCGATCAGATATATACACGAACAAAAAACCGAAAACGCTCGCATTCATTTATTCAATTCCTCGTCAGCATCAGTCAAAAAGAGATCGTAAAAAAGTCGTCAAGGTCATAAAAGTCATGAACCTGAGCAAAGCTGCTCCCACCAAGGTCAAGCAAGGTCAACTACCTCCTGCTCTTCCTCTTCAACCAACTCCACACCCCAACCCCAGTCAACCTCCTCACAAGCACCTTCAACACAGCAGCGCACACGCCAATGCCAACAAGGACGAGGTAACTCCCCCGTCCACCTGTTGAGAGGTATAGATCGCGTCGGGCTTCCCATTCGCATCAGGGTCTTCTTTGAGGGGAGGAGGGGGTGGTAGTGGGGGAATTCGGGTTGGAGGAGGGAGGGCAGGAGGGAAAGAGGAAGGAAGACGTCTTATCGCCTAATATACGAAAGACGACAGACCGAAGAAGAGTGATGGGCCATGAATTCGACGATATGGACGCGTTGAGACCACCAAGTCGAGCATCACGCGTTTCCTCAAGCTCTTGAACCCGTTTAGAATATTCTTCAAGCTCACGTCCTCTCTGACCAAGCGCCCGTTGCAGCCCATCAACCGCTTGCTCTAATTCCACAACCTTTTCTTCCCTCCATCGTACCTCACGCTCCATCCTTTCAACCGCCCTCTCCCTCTTTCTCTCTCCGCCCAACCGCCTCCTCACGTCGCCCCACCGCCTCCTCACGATACCCAACAACCCTCTTTTCGATCCTCTCCTGTCTAGCCGCCAGCCCCAGCTCACGTTGGTCTGGGGCTTCTTCGCGGGTTGTGAGTGCTATCCGGAGGGCAAACAAGTCTGAGCTTGAGTCGTTTGAGGCGAGAGAGGTGAAGTTTGAGTCGTTGGGAGTGAGGAACGTATTGCCGTGACCAGGTTCTTGGACTTGTTTCTGTTTGACAGGTCGATGGTGTCAAGGTGGGTCAAGGTCGAATGCGGTCCATAAGTCACCTCTCGTCTCCCTCCGTCTCCTGCATCTTTCTTCCTCTTCCCGTTATTGTCTTTCTCGTCGATGGCTTTCTCCTTCCCTTTCTCGTCGATAGTATGGTTCGGCCCCCTCTGTCTCTGGATAATTGTGATGGAGCGGTGTCGTAGCTTCTTTCTGTTTCCGCTCCTGGTTTAGTCTGTGTGTAAAGAACAGCGCCAGATGTATTTCTCATAACATCATCACCAGACGTATCCCTCGCAACATCATACAATCCAACCAACCCCTCAACTCCAACTCCAACCCTGGGCTGTGGCCTAGGATGATGATGTTTAACAGACCCAGAATCGGTCACCGTCGTACCCACACCAGCACTGGAAATAGGTGGGGTCTACGAGAAGGTGTTGTCCGCTACGTGGCGGGAGAGGAAGGGACGCGTGTGTTGTTGGCCTGGACCGCCTATGCCCAGAGGGGTCGGAATTGCAGTGAATGGGGGTATGGAACCTGAAGATCCCGTTGGGAGTAAAGATAAGGGTAGAGGCGCATGACGGTATCCAAGCTCGTACAGTCCTGCCATTTCCATTGGACGCGAATGGTGACCTAGAATGCGTAGAAAAGAATGGCGAACCAGTGCCCGTTGAAGGGAACGAAGACCCCCATAGAAACGAATGGAGACCCCGTAGGTACAAATGGAGCGCATGACCGAAAATGGGCCCTGCGAAGGAAGAGTGCGCTGAGTCTTGTTGGGTGAATGTGAATAGAACACGGAATGTCGTTGGTCGTTAGTCAGAAATTAAGACGTTGAAATTGGTTGGCTCTTATTCGGTGAGCTTTCACCCTCCCATTTCGATAGGAAGTAGTATCGAAGTTGGTGTTCCCGCTCCTCCCCACATCAACGCTAAAAGAGTTGGAAGGGGGGTCGTCATGTTGTAGAGAATGAGCGGGGAAGCTATGGCCCTCGGAGTCGACCCCGCCTCGTGGAATGTTTTGACGCAGGGAGCGGGAGGCGGAGAGGGGGTGGGTTTGGTGGGTTGTTGGTATGTAGTTCGGACCTTTATATCCAATTAGCACTAGGTAGAAACAAAACCAAGAAGAAGAAAAACACGTACCTCCAAATCGCCCTCGTTCACCCCGTTTGATGAGAGGTTTCACGGAGCACCGGCAAAGACCTAGGTTCCTCAGACGTCAAGCTCCTACTATACCTACACCTGATGTCTCTAGGGAGCTTATATTTCGTTGGGGACACCTGACCACTCGGCGAAGGCGTAGATGGGACGTAGTGGTGCTCTGTGAGCGTAGTACTATGGACTTGGTGGTGCGGTGAGGAAGAAGAGCAGGAAAGGATGATTGTGGATGTTGTTTAGGGGTGTGTGTTTGGTTTTACTGCGTTTGATGAGGGTTTGGAGAGGCCCCGGGAAGCTCACGCCATTTCTTGTCCAAAAATAGCGGATTTGAGGGCCCAAAATTCGGCCTATCTTTGTCCTAGAATAGCGGATTTGAGGCGATTTGGATGGCAGGTTTGTCCACAAATAGCGGATTTGAGGGTGCAACTGAGCGGATTTTTTTTGAAGTTGTCACTGATGGCAAGGATCTGAATCATCTAATTACTGGTAACAAAGACGGGGAAGCAGGCTTCATCTGTAAAACGGCTGTCTTTGACGGTCTTGCGTCGTCAAACCCCCTAAATTCACGGGAACCTTCCTTTTTAGGGAATGTCACGTGTCGACCCTTGTCCAAGTTTGCGGATTTGAGGTCCAAAAGATAGCGGATTTGAGGTCCGTTTTGGCGACTTTTTGCGGACAAGAAATGGCATGAGCTTCCCGGGGCCTGTTTGGAGATGAAGATGGATGTAAGATCCTTTGTGGGTGAGCTGGTGCGGGGGAATGAATAGGTCGATGTGGAGGATGTGCCGGATCGATGTCAAGACTCAACGCAAGTTCAACTTCAAGTTGTTGCGATCAGGGCTCGCACATTCAAGTTCACATCCTCTTTGCGCTGTGACGTCAACGACGTCTCCTGAACCTGGCAGCGTCCCTCCCTGACTGGAGAGGCGCCTGTGTGCCTGTCTAGATAACAACCATTGTGAACAGCCATGGAATTTCATGGGCATGGGTACGTGCAAGGTACGTGTCATTCCCGCACTCAAACGCACTTGTGCTCTGTACTTTCTCCACTTCCAGTGACCCCTCCTCAATAACCACTCTCTTCCTCCCACAGTCCCAGCACACCGTCAGACCTGTATTGTCAACCTCTATTGCCGCCTCTCACACATATAATTGTGCATTCTCATGAACTTGCGCTCCAGTACTTTTCCACCTGGGAAGTTGGGAGCTTGAAAGGCCAGTGCATGCGCTGGATGGAGTAAAGGCAGAGCTACTCGTTCGAATTTAGAACATCTGACTTGCTCTGGCAGTGAGGTGACAACATAAGCGCCAATGCCTCGTGATGATGATTGATGAAGGCATGTCCGATAACTGACTCTTTCCTTCCATCATCCATCTTGCTGACGTTTCAATAGGCGCTGGTTGGAAGCAGCTATGTCTACTCTGCCTGGTCGCGATCATACGTCCAGATCCACTCCCTCCTTAGATGGCAAAGGGGGTACAGATTCAGTGTCTCAAGACGGAAAGCCAACGAAAAGGACAGGTCCTAACTACGGTGCGCCCTATCCCAGAAACTCGACTCCTGGCTACAATGGTCTAATCCACTCGTGCAGTATATTACCGTCTGTACACCAAACTCGGTGCATTCGAATCAATCCACCCCCTCTACCACAACGACCGTCTCATTGGCCGCATTCCGTCGAAATCCTTTGCCCCTCCTCATTCCGTGGCATCTATCAAGTGGTCCCTATGCAAACTTGAGGGCCTGTCGGAGCCCGACAAGGCGCTCCTCTTCACACCGCTCTCAAGCCCAGCACCCAAAGAAGCCTCTGCCTGCCTCTCTTTGAGCGCCCCTTCTGGCCCAGGCCTGTCTGAACAAGACCCGATTGCATTGGTTGTCAAGTCGGAGAAGAGGACTGAGGAGATCTTGCAATCAGAGGAACTGCTGGAATGCTCTGATGATCCTGATGTCCACTACAGCAAGTCTTGTCGGCGACTCCTACCCAAATAGTGCACTCATTAGCTTTGCAGTACACTATCGTGTTTACTCATCAAAAGGAGGAGATCAAAAGGCAAAGACGTCCTTTGACCAAACTGATATTTCATTAGGGCGCATCAACACCCTCTTCATCGCTCCCCCTCACACTGCCGGATCTTTGAAAGCATGCATCGTGAAAGTCGAAGGCCTTGTAACGCCGGGCCATGCACTCTACAAGGATATGGAACTCTTCCAAGACACGGATAGTGATGCTGCCATGAATGACACCGATGTCATATCCTTCCAAGGTGACACTTATCCGGGTAGTGATCAAGGCAATCCCGTAGCCCTTGTCAATGCAACCGCCAATACAGCAGCTGACCAAAAGGCTAAACTTACACCAGGTAAAGTTCTCAGTGAATATCCACTAGACATTGCGACAACAAACCGTGCTTTTTCAGATGGACCAGATTCAAAATTCACGAAACGTGCTCGGTTGACTGGTACTTACAGTGAGTAAGAGGTCCTGAGATAATTCAATTCTCATCCTATGGTATCCCGCTGCAGACTTCAATAAATATGATTCCGCCTGGCTATCAATAACCAGCGATGAGATCGTTTACTCGGATGGAGTTAGTGTCTTCAAAAATTACTCCCCCCACGGTGGCTGCAGTATTTCTTTCCTTTTCTGCTTCCCCACCAGTTTGTTAATGCTTTGTCGGGTGACAGTGTATACAGGATACATGGTGATTAATTCCAAGGGTGAAAAAGGCTGTGAGTCTCCAATTTGCCTTTGGGTCACTAGGTGGTTGTTGATTTTCTTTGGCAGTTGTGGGGTATCGTGAGTGGTCTCCTCCCGCTGTCGGAGTATTTGATATCCAGTGTTTTGCTAGATAATGTTGAATTTATTTGATTGGTGAGCTTCGGAGAGAATGTATGCTTTCGGAATGGGATATGTCAGGATTTAGGCTCAGAAGGGGTCGACGTACCAGTCCCGTAGATCTGTTAACATGTAACATGAGAAATGAGGAATTGATTATGAAAAAAACAAGCAGACATCGCTGATTGTTGAACCTTTCAATTGCAAATGTTCAGTCCTGCTCAAAGATTCAAGGTGGCACTTGCAGTCAGAAAGACATGAAATATTGAATATTGTCACAGCCGCACAATGTCAATGACAAAAATGGTCACAACGGCGACGATGGCACAGCCACAGACATGCACACTTGAGTAAAAACAGGAAGTTTCAGTGGCACTTGCAGTCAGAAAGACATGAAATATTGAATATTGTCACAGCCGCACAATGTCAATGACAAAAATGGTCATGACGGCGACGACGATGACGACGACGACGACGACGACGATGGCACAGCCACAGACATGCACACTTGAATAAAAACAGGAAGTTTCAGTGGCACTTGCAGTCACAAAGACATGAAATATTGAAAATTATCACAGCTGCACGATGTCAATGACAAAAATGGTCACAACGGCGACGACGATGACAACAACAACAACGATGGCACAGCCACAGACATGCACACTTGAATAAAAATGGGAAGTTTCAGTGGCACTTGCAGTCAGAAAGACATCAAATATTGAATATTGTCACAGCCGCACAATGTCAATGACAAAAATGGTCATGACAGCGACGACGATGATGACGATGAAAACAACAACAACAATAACAGGCACAGCCACAGACATGCAGACTTGAATAAAAACGGGAAGTTTCAGTGGCATTTGCAGTCAGAAAGACATGAAATATTGAAAATTATCACAGCCGCACAATGTCAATGACAAAAATGGTCATGACAGCGACGACGATGATGACGATGAAAACAACAACAACAATAACAGGCACAGCCACAGACATGCAGACTTGAATAAAAACGGGAAGTTTCAGTGGCATTTGCAGTCAGAAAGACATGAAATATTGAAAATTATCACAGCTGCACGATGTCAATGACAAAAATGGTCACAACGGCGACGACGATGACAACAACAAAAACAATGGCACAGCCACAGACATGCACACTTGAATAAAAACAGGAAGTTTCAGTGGCACTTGCAGGCACAAAGACATGAAATCTTGAAAATTGACATCGCTGCACAATGTTCATGCCAAAAATGGCCACTGAAGCTTCCCATTTTGATTCAAGAGTGCATGTATGTGGCTGTGCCATCACCATCGTTGTTGTCACCATCATTGTCATGATCATTTTTGTCATTGACATCATGCAGCATGAGTATCTGTAAATATGCAGCCAACCTCTCACAAAATTCTCAATGCTATTTGCCTCAAAGTTATTGTAAAACCATTGTAGAGAAAATACAAATGCTTGAGTTGAGCATTACCTGCAGTGCACTTAGCAATTGTGCTTGATCTCATGGATTACAGTAAATAACAAGCCAGATTACAGCAAAATATCTCTTCATCAAAATTCTTTTTTAAATAACCTTGTCAAAGATATTGTCAAATCCTATGCAACTTCACTTGATCATGTAGTTACAACCCTGAAATTGAGTGACACACCAAAGATAACATGAATCAATCCCAGAACATGGGTAAGAGAAGATGAATGGTGGATAGAATTTTTTCACAATAACTTTGTCAAAGTTACTGTGAAAGTTATTATACACAATAAAAAGTTGGCAGCTATTACTGAAACCATTGGGTTGAGTAACCATTTCTCTGCATCAATATAGTGGAGAGGAAACAAATAATAAGAGAATACCAAATCAGAATTTCTTGCACCATAACATTGTCAAAATTACTGTAAATAAACCTTTTTCAATTATCAGAAATACTTCACAGTTTCTTTAACACCAACTTCGGTGAGATTATTTTAAAGAAATTGTCGGTTCTGCAAACAGAATATTTATACACAAAATATGTTGAAAATATCCTCGAAAATATTTTGCTTACATCTCTATTGGATGATAAAATTTTCTTTACAATATTCTTCTAAGTTTCTTTTTGCAAAAAAAAGTGAATCACAATTTTTTCAAGATAATTTTGGAAAAAGTAACTCTAAAGAAATTGAATTGAACAATTTTATAGTCACAATTTCTCACTCAAAATTTCTATACAATATCTTTGACAAAAAATAGTATAAAAAGAAATCACAATAATTTTACAATATTTTAGACATTGTTACTGTAAAATTATTTGGAATCTTTTTACAATTTTTTTACAATTTTTTTGTTCAAGTTAATGTGGCTCGCATCCAGTGATATCAGAGATATTTACACGAACAAAACCCAAAACGCTCGCATACGCTCGGTTCATTTATTCAATTCCTCGTCAGCGTCTGTCAAAAAGAGATTGTGAAAAAGGTCGTAAAGGTCATCAAAGTCATAA